CCCAAGTAGGGAATCCCACAGGAGACAACCCTATGGGCTTTACTACTAACTCCTCTTCTTGATGTTTGATATACACTGTATAGCTTGGATTGTGACTCAGGCCGGATAGAGTTCCTACTATCATGACTTTTTCTAGAATGAAATTGGGAATTATATCTTAGATATAACTCACCTAAGATCATACAATAAGTTCATGGAAGAATTGAAGCCTTCTGATTTGCAGTACAGGCTCTCCCTCTGTGATAAATTAGTAATGCCTCCCTCTATTGTATAATATATCAAGGTGCATGTATCTTCCTACATATTATAAAGATGACTCCTGGGGACCTTGAGGGGGTAGTAAGCCTCCATTGTCTGTGTATGCATTGCCTATTATCTAAAAATAAACAAATAAATAAGGATCTCAAAAAGATGGTACCAAATACTCATCTAGATTTCGGTGAGGTTCCAGTAATTGGGTAGGAATAGTTTACTTTGAGAGAGTGGGAGAGCAAATTGAAAGGACCTTTTTCTATGAGTTTCCGATATTGGTTGTTATAGAGTACAGGCTCAAAGGCAATCCACAGTGATCTACTTCTTAGTGATTAGACTGTTGCATATATGTTCTCCTTAAATGTGAGCCTGTATTTGCTTCCAGTGGCTAGAACATAAAAGTCTGGGCACGTGATTTGATCATAAGCACATTACGTAAGGTCCACCTCAGCAGACTGAAGACAGAGAAGTCCACTAGGCAAGAAGATATGAGTGAGCTCTAGGAACAAAGATTGGCCTTTAGTCATTAGCCAACACAAGGTCTTGGCACTTAGTTGTGTATTTGTAGGGAAATGTATTGTGTCAGTAGTCTGAAGATCTTAAGAATGTATCTCACCAGCCCCTTGACACAACTTGTGAGACAGCAAAAGACCCAAAGAAACACTTAGAAGCCATGAGATGAACAAAGGAGTAAAGACCATGATGGGGAAACCCACAGAATCAACTGACCCAAGCTAGTGAGAGATCACTAACTCAAGTCTGACAAATGGGGAATCTGCATAAGACCAAACTAGATTCCCTTAATATAGGTGACAGTGGTGTGTGACTGGGACAATATATGAAATCACTGGCAGTGGGTCCAAGACCTAACACTAATGCACAAGCTCACTTAGTGGAGCCCATTCTATATGGAGAGATTCCTTGTTCAGCCTAGACATAGGGGTATGGGGGTGGAGAGGTACCTTGGTCCTGCCACAACTAAATGATGGGAGGATGGGGGAGTGGAGGGAGTAGGAGGAAAGGAGGGAGGGGGAACTGGGATTGGAATGTAAAGTATAAATTAATAGAGAGAAAGAGAGAGAGAGAGAGAGAGAGAGAGAGAGAGAATGGCCTTATGCAATCCAGTGTAATTAAATAAAAACTAAAAATATTTAGAAAAAAACAGATTCACGTTATCTTAATCTGGTAAGATGAGGTTAGGTGGGTATCAAAAGCTAATACAAGGCTCTTGACCATTTCTAAACAGATTCTGTTCTGAGTAGCCACTGACCTGACAGATCACTCCCTTTATAGTTTTCTGCATACTGTATGGGTAGCTTGCAATACTCTGCTGGACCACCTCCAGTGACAGAGAGCTAGCCTGGGACAGTCATGTCTGTGGTAAACGGGTCTGTGTGTTGTCAAGAATTGCATTACAGAAGCAATCTATGATTCACCCTAGATTCACGGATAGTCTAGTGAAGGGCTCCTCATTCTTTTGACTGCCTTTCCACCAGGGATGAGCTGCCTCCTGGAAGGAAGAATGAAGGAAAATGCATGTAACCAGTCCCTGACACTAGATCTCATACCCCTGTCTTACTACTTGCCTGCAATATAAACTTTCATCTATTTAAATAAAGTAATGAGCCCTGTTTTGTGTACTTTCCTCGTGGAATTGTGGCCATCAAGTAAGATTGCATCTATGAGCATGTTTGTTGGCTGTAAATCAACAAATGATTGCAAATTATTATTATTAAAATAATAGTCATTTGTCAGTAAATATTTGTTGAAACTGGTCTGCTTTGATGGAGACAGGCTCTCCAGGGATCTGCCAATGGTTGTGAAGACAAGGAAGGAAGCAGCCCCAGTTTGGTGTTGCATCACTGGCTCGGGGTTCCCAGTGGAACTGGCAGGACTTGCTTCAGGAATTTGTTTTTGTTTTGTTTGGTAGGAACAAGAAGCCCCTGGAGCCAGTTACGTTGTCATCAAACTTAGTTGGTAATTAGGCTCCAAAGCAAACCTGTGGCAGAGACCAGAGTTGAAACATGAATTCCTCTCTGCAGGTGGAGGGTTGGATCCTAGAGGCGGTGTACACAGCTTGGCTATTTTTATGCTTCTGCATGCAAGAAGGTTCAAGAGAATCTGAGGAAAGCAATTAACGTCCCTCTGTCTGCAGGCAAAACTCGTTTGAGCATGTTTCTACGCTCTTGAAGGGCTGCTAGAGCCTTGGCAGTTTTCTTATGAAGATTCCACTGAGCCAAATGTCTTCACTTACAAATGCAGCCACTCTACACTCCCCCATCAGCCCAAATGCATCTGTTCTCCCTTGTCTTTTCTATGACCACAACCCATGAAAACTTAAACCAATGCCCAAGAGTGCAAGAAGATGCCACATGTCTGATATACCTGTGCAAGGATGCCCCAGGATGCCTCATTTGAAAGAGAAAAGGATGTTTTGTGAAAAATGTTTTTCAAGGACTGTTTCACATTAATATTGAATGTTTCTCTGTTTCATGGAAGGTTTATTTTACTTTCTTCAGGAAAAGACATTATCAATGTCCCATTGTTAAAACCAAAATCCTCTAGAAACTTACATTTAAAATTTTTCACAGCTAGGGATGGAGAGATGGCTTAGCAGTTAAGAGCACTGGTTCTTCTTCCAGAGGATCCAGGTTCAATTCCCAGCGCCCACATGGCAGCTTACAACTGCCTGTAATTCTACCTCCAGGGGATCCAACACCCTTACACAGATATATGTACAGGCAAAACATCAATGTGCCTAAAATAAATAAATCATTAAAAAATTTTTTCACAGACATCCAGCTGTTTCTGTAGACTCAAGTATTTGACCCCATATAAATGTTCCCTACCATTGGTCTGGTTTTTGTCCTTCTTTGCACATAGCCTGTTCTGTTGTTAGTATGATACATGCCTTAATGATAACGAATGGTAGCCACAGGTAATGTAATAAATAATTTGCAACTTCACCAAACCTAGTTTTTATCCAAGGTTTCCTGGAGCTGTTTGGTTGTTTTCTTGGTTGTGGTGGCCTGATTTTGGATTTTGAAGGATTTAGGGTCTGTTGAACTTTGGTTTTCTAGTCTATGTCTGACCTTGAATTTATGTGTAAACTGTGTGAGCATGGTTCCTTAGACATTAATTGGTCAAACACCCAAGTGTGACACTCAGCCTTGTCCGTCAGGGAAGTCACCTGCATCCCCATCTGTGACCTTGAGATTACCCCCAAAACAATAGTGGTAGCACACTACTGAGGATTTCTTGGGTTAGCGCCCACTAGAGGCTGACCTCTGGCTCTGTCCGTTGTCATGGCACAGATTTCAGGGAAAGTGCACCTTCTCTAGCTGCTGATTCCCGAAGCAAGTGACTGTGCATAGGTTCCATTTTCCCATAAGTCAGATAATACAATCCTAGTTCTTGTCACGGCTGTCAGTAAGAGGATTTGTGTAATCAATGGAACTCTACCAGCAGCTCCCAAGTCACAGATGAATGGATGCTACAGTCCATAGAGTATGACAGATTCATTTATCCTTCCCAGTTTGCAGATGAGGCAACTGAGCCCTGGGAGACCGGTGTAGCCAAGTATCCTAGGAAGAATTTCTGGCAAGGCTAATTCCCACCTACTTCTGTGTATTTTCTGTGCTTCCTCCTCTCATTTGAATACAGGCATACCTATTAATGGTCTGTATGCTGAAACTGTATGCCCCCAAGGAGGCAGATAGGTTCCAGCATTGATAGCTCATGTGGTCATAACATCCTTGAAGAATAAAATATTAAGTACCAGGGTAGGGTACACCATACCTGTGGCAGAGTTACCACAGGAGTGGCAACCCAAAAGACCCTCTGTTAAAGTAAGGAAAGAGCCACTGTGATGACAGTGGAGAAAGGACAGACGTGTGACTCTAGGATGGGTAAGAAAGCAGGTGCTTTCAAATACTACACTAGCCTTCTGCCCGATCGTCATAGCAAAGGAAGTGAGCCTTTTTAATTGCCTCACGTGCACATCTTATTGCTCTGTAATTCTTTTTATTTTTTGATAAAGAGTCTGTGACACTGTCTTTTATTTCATAGAAATTCCATGAATTACTTCTGTCGTGTCAAGTCAGATTTTGCAAACCTCCAGGAAATGTTTGTTTTCATTTTCTTTGAGAAGAGAATGGAGGAAGAAGTAGGCACTGCAGCCTGCTGTTTGAAGTTCTCTTTGTGTGAGCTTTGGCTGCTTCACCTCTTGAGCTTTACACGCTTTGAAGTTCCTCTTTAGGCATAAAACGAAAGATTATTATCTTTAGTCTCCAGGCTTGGAGGAGGGCAATGATGAAACATTCCTGGGTATTCGCATTTCTATGGCAATAATTGATGTGGTCTTAAAGCTGTCATGCTTGCCTTAGCCTTATATAACAAGTATTTGGAGTCCCACGAGTTTTCAGTTCTGTCACCCTTCCAGCGCTGTGCGGCTTTCCCATGCATTGTTTTAGTGTGAGCCACCCAACAGGGACAGCATCCACAACCCCTGAGCTTCACTCTGTCCGGCTGGGTGGGTACATCATTATGCTTTCTCCACCATGGGCTACGTGCATGAATGAATACATAGGAGAATCTTCTGGTCTGACTCCATGAGTACCTTAGTTCTATCAGATGCATCAGCTAAGTTTTCATAAAAACTTTAATTGTACCTACTTGTGCCTTTTAGCATTCTGCAAATGTTTTCTGATACATTCAGCAGAACCCAAGTCAACAGAAATTATTTCTAATTAAGGAGTAATTATTTTTTATTATCTTCACACAATGGCATTGAGTTCATGAAGTGTCTCGTCTATTTCTAGATTTCATGGCCTTGCTTGGTCACTAGTTTTTTGATATACTATCTAAATTCTATTATTTAAATCCTATGCAAACCCCACATTGCAGACCTACTACTTTGGGAAAAAGAAGCCTGATTTAGGAAATTAAAAAAAAACATTATTGTCTAAGAATCAAGACAGGGAATCGAGATGTAACAAATCCAGGAGATCCTTTTCCCTTTGGCAGTTTAGAAGAGGGGGAAGCTCCATGTCTGGAACATGAAGGGATGGACCAGCCTAGGGACATGGATTGTTGCATGCAGACTCCTCATATGCTGAATACTTTTAATACTTTTATGAGCGGTACTATCTCTAGTGGCCTGGGCCAAGTCTTTTTTGGTCAGGTCGCTTATGGCTAATAACAGCTTCTAATGATGCCCAATATTCTTAGCAAACAAGATTTGTGAAATACTTTTATATTAGCATATCATCATAAGTATTTTAGGTCGTTTATTCTAAAAACTTTATCTAAAAAGATAGTTTCTGGGGTCTTTGTTTGTTTGTTTCAGTATTCTAACTCCATTATTCTATTACTAGTTTCCATTATTCAGTTTACAGCTGACATAAGAGATTCTAGAAGGAAAAGGACTTTGTGGCATTTTCTGAAGGACCATCCACAAACATTCTGACATTACTGAACCATGTCTTTCCTCTGAAGCAATGGTGATCTTAGTCATCTAGCACAATTGGTAATACCAAAGAGCTTGGTTTAGCCAATTGTGATCCATACTGCCTTTTCTTCCAGAATAATCTAGAAACAACATTGGTCCCTGAAAATTGGTCCCTGACGCGGAAACTGTTCCATCCATGCTGGTGGCTCTCATCACCCATTCAAAAATTAGAAATCTAATTTCTTCTCAGATGCTGAGATTTGAAGTCAGAATAGGGAGTGACAGTTTTCAGTAGCATTCACACTTTTGTCTTTGAAGTTGGCGAGAATCACCAGGGACGTTTTTCCTTTAGATTAAAATTCTCTGGGAAAGGTACCCTGACAAGTAACAAAAGGCATGACAACTTCACTGTGTCTCTTTAGACTCCAAAGCAGCCAGCATAAACAAGAAACTGTCTTTATTGGTGCTTTCATAGGATCTTATCTAAATATCTAAAAGCTCACTACAAGCATCAGTTGTAACTTTAGGCTAGATTTCCAGTCCTACATCTCCATTATTATGTCAACAAGAATAACTGATGTTTGTTCTCCCACAAATACTCTGCACTTCACTCTGAGACAAGCATAAATGTGGTAATCACTGCAAGGCTGAGCAACACATCTGCTAAGGCATTATTTAAACAGCGAGTTGACTCAGGAGGGTACGGACCAGGGAGGACTGAGCCAGACCAGAGAGAGCGCAAAGTTCGGCCACACAGCTTGCTGGTTTCTTTATTTTTCTGAACTTCACTTGTAACATCTATAAATCATGAAATAAAAACTGCAGCTTCTCATATATGATGCTGTTATCCCAGTCTCAAAATAGTCACCAGAAAGAGGTGACTAGGCTGGCTCTGAACTCTTGATCCCCTGTCTCAGACTTCTGAGCACTGGCATTGCCAATGTGTGCTACCACATTCATCAGAGATATTTTTTGGTGGCCTCTTTCCTCCTTTCCCAGGATTCCCTTCCTCCTTTGTTCAGGTGTTGGAACACAGTGATACGTTCAAATCCTTGTTGTACTCATTATGTATTCAGGAATGAATCTGGATTCATTGGGACTCACTGGAACTTATGTAGTCTAGATTGTCTACATTGACAACTCAGATCTAGAGGAGCAAATCGTAAAACAAAAGGGAAGCCATATTGGCCGGGACTGGGGTGTGTAATGCCTGTCCTCAGAACAGTGAATCTTATGAGAGCAGGTGGGACCTGAGCTTGCCCTGTGTTGTCTAATTCTCTCAGTCTCACAAAAGAGACACCATATCACCTCATTTACATTTACATCACCTCAGCAAGATGATTGGCCTATACCATGAAAATCCATGAGACAGTGCTAGTACTTTCCCATGCACTCCATTGAAGCAGTTTCTCCTCCGTGGTGCTCTGGTCTCCTAAGCACTCCTTCTGCATTGATGATGAAGCCATGTGATGTGGCAGCCCTCCCTGCTCTGCCTGAGACTTGCTTTGATTCCTCTGTTCTGCTGTGTGAGTGGACAGAATGTCCCTGATGGGAGAGTTCTAAGAGCACCAGGGCTGTGGCTATACTGTAAGCGCTTCACAGAGCAACCAGTGAGGTTACAACTCTGTTAAGTGCCAGAAGAACTCAGCCTCTTCAGTATTCTAGTAACAGTGCTTAGTGGGCATGGATGTGTAAAGGGGCAAATGTAAGAATCTCTGACACCGTGGGCCCGTGTGGCAAAGTGAGAAAAGGTCATCCTGAAACCTAGAAAACCATCCCCCACATCCTGAAAAATACACCTGCTCTTTGTGAGCCTGCTTTCTCGACGACTCTGTGAAGGAGCTAACTGAACCACTACCTATCACATTGCATTGTAAAAGGCTGCTATGAACAGGAATTATTTAAAGTGACAAAGAAATAGATGCATTTCTAATAATGCCTTTAAAAAAAACAAAGACAAATTTTCATTTGTCTGCATTTAAACCCTTTCTTAGGTAGCATATTTACCTTTGTCAAATGGGCTCTAGAGGGCATTTTTCCTGGGCTTATTTATTTTGAATATATGTGCTTCTATTTTGTATATTCATGTTATATTTATTAATGGTACCAATCCTAGCATTAATTCCCTTTTTCTTTCTTACAGTGTTCTCATTTTTATTAAGACATACTTTTATACAAACAAAATACTTAGTTCATAAGTGCTCAGTTTGACGAGAATGGACTGTTGTATATATCATTCCAGAAAATTCTCTCATGTCCTTTTCAAATCCAGTCCCACATACTACCCTTAGAAGCAACCAATTTCTGACTTCTTTTCCCATAGTTCTTTCCTTCCGATAAATCTCTGTGTCTCTGTGTCCCTCTCCCTCTCTCGGTAATCTCCCTTTTCTCATTCAGAGTACACTTTCTGAGATTCATTCATCCCTGTTGCTGTATCAGCCATCTGTTTCTTTTTGTTGTCTAGTATTCTATGAATATGCCAAATTCCACACTGTGCTATAATTAGGTTATCCATTCTTCTCCACTCTTTTCCATTTTTATTATATCGTGAATTTACTTAAGGAAAAACATGGGAACTCAAGTACTGAATATGGGCATAAATGCCTGAGACTAAGCATTGCCCTTTGTCTCCTGTAGTTTTATTCCTTCCCTGGTGTCATGAAAAATTAAGTAGAGCATGAGGAATGGGGAACGACCTGGGCTCCAAAGGCAGTGACTTGGCAGTGTAACAGACTACCTGTCCCCAGCTCTGCTGCTGTGTTCATACACTCACCCGGCTGGACTGGAGTGTTCCCTTAGGTCTTTACCCTCTGGGATCCAGGTGTCCTCTACATTTCCCTCCTGGGTTAGGAACACCACATCCTTCACAGTTGCTACCACAGTCCATCTTCTGTTATCTCTGTGGCGAAGAATCCCAAGTATCATCTTACTGAATATGATGCCTTTGGTTCCTTTTCCTTTCCCACACTGCAGGGTTTTTTCCCCCACATTCGGAGTCTAGAAATGTCTGAAGAGCATATGGCAAGGAAGACTTAAAAAGTGGCAGTTCCTAAATTTTTATCTTTTCAAGTTCTCAGGATGCTATGAACTTACGAAGCCAATGGTGGTCAATATGCTTTACTTACTTGTAGCCCTACTTCAGAATTACGTGATGAGTCTATTCTTCCTCATTGAGCTGCTGCCTCAGGCACTACTTAAGCCTTCAGTTCCTTTGCTTTCCCTCTAGTTTGTTATAGAATCGTATAATCTATACCAAGTCCTGAAATGTTCTGGCCTGGCCTACCTTGCATTTCAACTAGCGTTGGCTAAAAGTCATTTGACAATGTCCATTCTACTTTAAGACTTGGTGTATTTGATATCTCTTCTCACAGAATAAAAGGCCTCTGTCACACACTCTTAACACAGAGGACATGTTTTCCATGCTATTTATTTGCCTGTTTGTTTTAAAGATAGACTTTGCATCAATTTTGAGAACTTTATGTTTTAACATTTTCTTTGCACAGGAGTAGAAAGAACACAGACTTAAAAATGAGGATGATTAAGGCTTTTAGCTTCTACTATTTGTTAGATAATACATGTAAATTGGTGATATGCAAGATTAAAAACTGCTGAGTTGATGATATAATCAATGGGGAGCTGCAACTTGTGCTACTTTGTATAGCATCAGATCCATGTCCTTTAATATTTACTGTCACGAAGAGCTTCCAGCACTAACTGTGGCACTTATAAAATAAGTGTGCACTTCATTCTCAGATGTCCAGGGCTCGCACTCTACTATGGTCTTATACAGTTTCAAGTAGTGATTCTATCCAGAAAGCCGTGTTTTAAAGGCTTCACCCAAAGCATTTTGCAGTAAATAGTTCATAACAGCATAATCAGAATGCTGCTTGAGAGAATGCCCACTGAGCCACATTGCCAAAGCATCCTCTGTGTGTGGAGTCGAGATGCTACAGTGAGAGCATGCATCCAGGACCTGGGAATCCTAGAGCTAGAAGGGAGTTTTGGGGTAATAGGAAATGCTTGAGAGAAGTTAAAAATCCATTGAACTTGAAGAAGTATGAATTACAGTTGCAGTACTGAATTATGAAAGAAATTACCCAAGAAAACACATTTTCACCTCTAAGAGACATATTTACCTAGAAATTTAGAATAATCCTATCTTCAAGTTCTCTAGAGTGTCTGTGATTCGTTCTCCTTGTCTGGACCTGACTGAGTGACAAGCATCTCTTAAGACACCTCACAGGTTCTTCGGTGATTCTTCTCTGTGTGCGTGCCATGTACGCCTGATGATGACAAGCAATTGACCGAGATGTCCCTGTTTCCTTTGAAGCTGCATTTGCCCGTGAGGTTTAGTGTCTCCTAAATGAGATGAAGATTCACACCATTAACCTCAACAAAATCAACGCTTTGTGTTGTACTTACTCCCTCATGAGTCAAAGGTCGCTTACTGCATACCTGCTGCTTATGACAGACACTTTGCTAGCTATGGAAATGAAAAGATAATTTAAGTGATGGCCCCATCCCCAGAAGATCAAACGACAGTGGAGATAAACACTGGCAAAAGCAAGAATACAGTGAAACAGGTTACAAGGGCATAGTTCTATGTGCAAAACATGCTTTTTTTTAAAAAAAAACCCTTTCTATTAAAACCCTTTCTATTTATGCTTTGTTTCTCTCACATTATGTATCTCTATCCTATTCATTTCCCCGTCCTTTCATATCCACCCTCTGCCCTCGCAACCTCCCCCCATTCGAAGTAAAATAAAATAGTATTTAAGAGGAGAAATGGTTTCTTGTTCCTAAATTCCTCAGCGGAGAGGACACACATAATTGGAGTATGAAAATGTCCCGTCAGATATAAGTGCGAAGAATACCATTAAGGGAGCAACTAAGGAGGGCAACACGTAAGACAAGTCCAGAGAGCTGCGGAGAGTCTTTGGCTGGAATCTAGGGAGCACACTGAACCAAAGAGAATGGGTGAGTGTCAAGCAGTGCCAACGCTGCTTCTCCATAGGGAGACCGAGTGCGGCTCCTGAGCGGGAAAGAGGTGTGATCCTGTATGTCCTTTCTTCTTGATGCTGTCCGTCAATCAGGGAAGATTTGAAACATTGCTGAGGTTCTTTGCATCCAGACTTTGTAATGAACATTAGAAACTAAAGGAAGACAGGGGGAATAAGTAACCGGAATCAAACCATGAAGTACATGCATTTGTGAAGACCAGGTTCATCTGGAGGAGTAGAAAACAAAATAGACGTCTTCATTTCCCTGTTGGTGTGGAGGTGAGGAAGGAGATGCCCCTGGGCACTGTGGGCAGGTTCTGGACTCCTGCTGTGCTGACACCCTGCTCCTCACTTCTAAGGGTGCTTCATTCTACCCTTACTCAAGTCCCCTTGGTGCAAAGCAGCAGGAAGTTCATGTTATTATTGCAGGCAGCTATGTGTTGAACTACAGTCCAGTTTCTGCAAGAAACAGAGAAGCAGTTACTCAGACGCACTTTAGCAAGGTGGTGAAGCTTCTAAGGCTAGTTTCCCTGTCCTAAGTCTGAGATTCCTCCTGTTCTTCTGTGGACTTTACCATCTCAGGGATGCAGTCATTAATTAAGAACACTTTTAATACGTACCGAGTCATTATGCATGCCCGCATTTTTCGGCGTTTCCTTTCTCATGAAGTACTTGTTTTTACTAACTATGGAGACATGAGTCAGGTGGGACTGTGTTCAATCCTTTCTACCAATTTAGGACTTTGGATACGTGTAAATAAATAAGTAATGATAAAAGAATCTATGTTTTGTGTTCTTGTATAAAATTGTAACAATATTTGATCCTGGTGTTCCTCTGAGGATTTAATGGGTTAATTTGATAAAAAAAAAGAGCCACAACCAATGCTTAATATAGAAGAGACATCTATTACTGCAGATCTCTCTCCTTTTCCTTCTTCCTCCCTTCTGTAAGTCTTCTCCAACGCTGGGACAGTCTATGTTCGTTGGAGGAGATTAAAGGGAGGCCAGCCCTTAGCCTTTCTGAAATCCATTGCAGAGTTTTCTAGCATGTCAAACAGTCACAGAACTGTTTTAAAGCTACAGGTGCCTGACCACAGAGTAAGGACTAAATAGGCTCAGAAATCATTGTTTTTTCAAATGAAATCTTCAGACTTCAGAGCTGTGTGCCTGGTGTACTCTTGGTCAGTATGGAAAGGCTGAGTGACATGTTGGATGTCTCTCTGGTCATCTAAAAGGAGATGATGGGATAGCATGGTAGAGATAGTGGCAGCAAATTATGTATATTCTGACAAAAAGTAATGGTACTTGGTTGGAGAAGGAAAATTGATGCTGACACTATGTCAAATGTCTTTCAACATGTTTTCAAAAAACAAAAACAAAATCCCTAAGAGAAGAAATTTGACCAGAAGATCAATAATCATAATAACGATATATCAGATCACAGAAAAGTAAATGATGTCCTTGACCACACTACTTTAGGAAGAGGTACGCAGGACACACACTAGCTCCGGAGCCTTCAGTACCGTGTTCTATTCTGGGCCCCATGTGTTGAAGGGAACCAGGACAAACTGGAACTTGTGCTGAGAATAGTGGGGGGGGGATGAGAGACGTAAATAGCCCATAAGAAAGGATGGAAAGGGTCCAGGTAGTTATCCCAAGAGAAGGCTCAAAAGGGACAATATTTTCAGTACTCTTTAGGGCTGTTGCATAGAAAAGGCAACAGACTTGCCTATAGAGGACAGAAGGAAGATTAAATATAATCTTCTAACAATTAAGTAGGCCAGTAGAATGGATACCTTCCAAGAGAGTCTACTGTCCCTGGAAATGATAGTTTCAGGCTGGATAATCCCTGACTAACTAGGGGTGCTGTACAGGGAATATACTCCCCATACTAACTGGGACAGATAGCTTACTCTAATACTTTCTCCATGACCCTCTCTAACTTTAGCTATTACACACTCCTTTGATTATACAGTTAGAGAAATGCATTGCCTTTGTTAATCGAACATCATCCAAGAGAAAGTTGTTGTCTTTTCATTTAGAGATGGTAAGAATAGCAGTAGCTCCTCAGGAAGAGAATGAATCGCCCATGCATATGCATATTCCTGTGCTTTCTTGTGTGTCCCTGTTGTACTTAGGAATAAATAATGACTTGCAGGTTTTGAAAATTACCTATTCTATGGAGAAGGAAAGTCTATTCTGTATTCTTACTCTCGGGTTTTGTCAATATTTTCACTCAGCATGCCCGATCATTTTGAATAAAGCTCTCTTCTGGAACTTACAATACATTGATGAAGAACCTGTCCAAAATGTATTATTAATTCATTCTTGCATTCATTCATTCATTCATTCAGGTACTTACAAAACACTTTCTACTGTGCTTTATGAAACATATGTAGTGTTACCAACATAACATAAGTTCAAATTTCTTCTTTGAAGAGCTTTTTGATATGAGAGCCACCATAACTAATTGATAACAAATTTCTGGTTATTAAACAATCTTTTTATCTTCCCCCACCAACTGGTCAGGGTCTGTTAGTCTCTCAGCCAGCTGCAGCTTGGAGACACTTCTGAGTCTTCTAAACCGAGGTCTCTCAGAGGCTTAGACTATTGACCAGCTAGTGTGGAACAAGTAGGCCTTCTCATCCATCTCCCTTTACTAAAGGTGGTCTTGCTAGCATGGCAACTTTGGTGTAGAAGTTACATATCCTGTGGCAGTATAGAACTTCAAGAGAAAATCTTGTCATATTTTGTATATGCCATAGAGAATCATCCAAAACGACAGTATTCCATTAGCTAGGCTCTTCCCAGAACCCCACCTCTTACTCAGCTGCTTCTATCACATGGGAGGATGGAGTACAATGTGATGTGATTTTAGTTTGCAATGAGCTATAAACAGGTAACTCTATGCAGGTCCCTACCATAAGTAATATAGAACCACTGGGGGGAAAGGACCAGTAACAGAGGTAACATCCAAAGCCATTGACTTCCAAAGCTAAGGATTGAAGAAAGGAAAAACAATGTTCAAGGCAGAGGTCACAGGGAATGAAGAGCAAGAGTACCCAGTGTTAAAAAGTTTGAATTGATAGGAATGAATACTGAACTGAAGGAGGGGAGCAGGATGTATGTCTGGAAAGGGAAGGTCTCAGTGTTCAAAAGGACCAAGATGTCTAGTTAGAAGAGCTAGCCTTGGGAAGCCATCCCTGGCTTCAGAGCACAGACAGGCAGAAAGATCCGTTGAGCAAACTCCCCTCTCTACTTTCCTTCCTGCCTTTGATAGTAAACATACCATCTCTATTAAAACTTGCTTCCCAGCTAAAACTGAACACAGACTCTGAACCGCCGAATCACTTTGGAGTTTTTTCTTATTGCACCCCACCAACAACTGGGATGGCATGCATTTGAACAAACCAAAAGTGATTTCACTCTTCTAGTTTTCAAAGCTTTTTGGCTAAATGCAGAGTGAGAAATTCATACCTTTTTCAAACAGTGTGGGTTCTTTTTCCCAGTTCCTCTCATCCATCTGGTTCTCTGGAGGTCTTGGAATCCAGGAAAGTGTTAGTTCACTGTGCTGAAATCCAAAAAAGACTGCTAAACTGTGAAAGGAAATTTGCATTCCAGAGACACTGAAGGAGTTAGTCCACAACTCTTGTGGCAAGGCACAAACATCTGTATGTTCTGTCTCCTTTGTCTCTGAGGCAGTTGGAAAACCCTGTAGCCTGGGAAACTCTGTACTCGTTGTGCCTTTCATACCTTCTTCATCTAAATCACTTTTGATGTAGTGGAGAAGTGCAGAAAGAAGAACCAAAACATGTTATTATTTTATTTCTAGTGTCAGAAAATATTACAGGCGAGATATAGTTTAGGAGAACAGCAAATCACTTTGCAGTCTTCATGAGATTCCATTCTCATGAATGGGTTCCCCAGCAGGGTATGTGGCAGACCCATCAACAGGTCTGTACTCAAAAGAAACCACAATCACCACCATGACACTGGCATGTCATCATGACCTTTCTAAGCCATAGTTCTGTCTTTTGTCTTCCATTGGCAGAAGCATAATTAGAAGGCCTTGTTTTCAACAGAAGCCAAATGATTGCCAAATGTGCTCAAGTGATCTCCAGGAGTTCAGAGCTAGCTCACCGCCCTCTGGCTCTTCTCACTGCCACTCCCAGGAGTTAGAGGCTTAAAGTTTTCCCTTTCTTTTGAAGGAAGATCAAGTTTGGTTCAAAGAAGCTTTTCTGTCATATGCATAAGGACAAGGAGAAACCTTCCATGACCCTGGTTGTTGGCTTGGGCCACTTGTGGCTTGCTGTAATGTGAGAAGTAATTGCAATCCATAAAGTCAGGTAGAAAATAAGCATCGTGGCAGGGCTGAGTCTCAGAAACCAGACACGTGAGCAGAATGGAACAAAGAACATTTCTAGTCTTTGCTTGCAGACCTTGGTTCTAATGGATGATTCAGGCTGGTTTAATTCTGATCTCAGATGTGCATGTAGGTGGTCATTACTGTGTGTACACAAAGCTGGGAAGAGCCTTGCTTGAATTCACAGCTTAGAATGTCCCCTGGATGGGTCCAATTACCCTCGATAATCAAATGGCATTAAGTAAAAGAGTGTTGCCCTACTGATTGTGTGTGTGTGAATAAGTTCAGATCATTTATGGTCTTAGGGAAGTTTTTAGCAATATTTCTTCTTTGAGAGATACACTCTTGCTGAGACGAAAACAATGAATCCTAGGACTGAAACACACCTCAGATGTTATTTTATTTAATGTCACTCATTTTTTTTCTTCACACAACAAATGCTTATTGCAGGCCTGTTATGACTACATACTGCTATAAAGGCTGTGATTATAGCAATCTTCAATAGCCTTGTGACAAATAATAATACAGGCTGCCCTAGCAAGAACGAGAACTGGACTTGGGACAGCATGCCACGGGGATCAGCATGTCTGAGTTCCAGGCCAGACGCTCATTGCCATCAGTGTGTAGCAACAGTCTACTCAGGAGCTCGTTGCCATCAGTGTGTAGCAGTCTTCTCCTAACAATGACAAAATGCAAATGCAAAAGTGCTTGTGCGGTGGCTCTTCACAGAAATGACTGTGTTGATTTTGCCTTCCTTCCTTTTGGGCCATTTGCAGTGAGAAGCTTGATGCTTCAGGAAGAACCCAGTGATGGGACTGGAGTTAGGGAACTCAGAAGAAACCATGTCATTTGGGTCCTGGACATGACATCTTCATTGAATAGGGATAATATTGGGGAGATCCACCTCACTGGAGACAGCATCCTAATACATCAAGCAAAAAAGCACAGGAAGCCCCAAATGATATACTTATTAAGTGGTGTGGAACAACCATAAAATGAGGAGGGCATTTTGTGGGATCGCCATGACAGGGAACAAGTAGCAACTTATTGTGTAGCAGAAAGTGTGAAATAGAAAGAAGCTTGTTTGCCTTTGACTTGGAAGACACAGATTCAAACCCTAATCACATTAAGATGTGTCCCCTAGAAACTGTACATTCTATTTCCCCATGCCTTGCTGCTGTGGAGGTATCTACATGCTTAATGAGCATGTCCAAGTGCCAGGTTTTTTGGGGGGTAGATAAAGAAACGAAAATTATTTTTATGAAGAAATGTTATATAATACTAATGTTTCAGCTAACATTACATACTGGACACTAAGTTCTTCCTCTTGTGCATGGTATCTTATATAAGTATAAAAACATCCATGGAGACATTTTCAGTCTTAGTAGGTAAGGACATCAAAAACCAGGAAAGTCGATTAATTCTGAGACTTCAAACCCAGCCTCTTGAATTCATCAACAGTTCTTTGACTGTGTGGCAGGCCTGCTGCAGTTCTCACATGAATAAGTCCTAACAAGAGTATGCCTTGAAGATGTTGTAAAGACAGATCTGATTGGACTTGGCTTGGAAGGAAAGGAATCCTATTCTTTACTCCCCTCTCATGATAGTCTCACTGGAGTTCTGGGATCTTTTAATTTGCCCCTGGCAAGAAGGTCTGACACCTAAATGTCAGCATTCCCTCCCCTTGCTTCTCAAGGATTCTGATACATCAAGAAAAGTACTTTGGAAGGCCAGCAATCGACATGGCTTACATGTTTTAAAGTGAAAGTCACCTCTGAGCCGTAAGGAATAGCTAGACAAATGACTTTTAACCATAGCTGTCTGTTGTTGGTTTGTGTCTGTGTTGGTCTCTCACTGACCTGCAACCTGCCCAGTAAGCTAGACTTGCTGGCCAGTGAGCTCCAGGAATCCACTTCTTTGTCATGGAGCAGCACTAGGGATTACATACATGTACCATAACAACCAGCTTTTAAATTTGTTTTTATGTTTTGCACTCCTTTAATCCCAGCACTTGGGAGACAGAGGCCGGCCTGGTCTATAGAGCGAGTTCCAGGACAGGCTCCAAAACAATACAGAGACACCCTGCCTCTAAAAAAATTTTTATATTTTATGTGTATGGGTTTTGGGTTCAAGCAGTGTCCCCAAAGACCAGAAATGGGTGTTGGCTTATCTGAACTTGAGTTACATGAGGTTGTAAGCTGCCATATGAGTTCTAGGAATTGAACCTGGGTCTTCTGGAATCGATGAACCATCTCTCTGGTCCTGCATACCTGGCCTTTTTTTTTTTTTTAACATAAGTTCTGGTAATTGAACTTGGGTCTCTGTGCTTGTTTGACAAGCACTTACTAGAGGAGATACCTCCCCACTCACCTATTTCTTAATTTTAAAGCCAATTTATATAGTCCTTTATTGTCTTCTCCTTCATTATCTTATGAAAATAACTCTATGTTCCTCTTGTATGTTCAGTTGTTCACATGTGTGTTCATTCCTGCAAATACTGAATTCTCCCATACCAGTTCACAGATGTTTGTTCCAGTATTATACCTGTAGAGTCAGTTTTGTTTGAAGGCAGGCTTATCTGTGACATCTCTCAAGGAGGCTTAGATGATGTTGAACACTCTTGTCATAATGGAACGTCAGTGTCAAAGAGTATTAAAATAACTTTGCTTTCAAACACCAACCCAAACCCCACCAAGAAGAGATGGAATAGACATGAACTGCAGGGGTCAGCCTGTTCTTCCCCACTCCCCAGCAGTTCCTCTCTGTGTGTTCATGCAGGTTGTTCATGTCTCTGGGAGAGCCACATACCGTGTGCTTTGCCTCCAGTCGTTTGTCTGTAGATGTGTTCGGCTCTCTCATTGTGGTGGGAACCTGTCAATGAAAGGGTGGCATCTCAGCAGTCACTTTCCCTCTGCCCCTCCCAGGATGTTAAACACTTCACTCCTTAGACTTTCAGGGAATGTGGCTTATTAGAGGAGACTATGAAGTGTTTGCTGAAACAGACTTGGTAAGAAATTTGAAGAATCTTAGGCAACAGTGCAAAGAGTTATTAACCAGGATTCCATACCAAAAAAAAACAAAAAACAAAAAACAAAAAAACAAAAAATCAGTTGGAATTCTTATATAGAATCTTCAGATGTTGTTTCACAGTTTTGTGTGTGTGTGTAAGAAAGGAAGTCACGACATTACAAAAATAATAGTTTTGATATCATCTAGTAACATTTGAGGGAAACAAATCGTAGTTTTCAACTAGAAAAAGAGTTTTTATTCTGATTAGAAAGTCACAGTTTAGGGATAGCACTAAATATGCTGTCATTTCAGTCTGTTTTGGAACACAGATATCTTGATGTAGACATAGGTGGAGGGAAGCCCACAGTACAGAAAAGATTGCAGTAGGAAATGTGTGCTTCTCAGGGAGGGGTTTTAACTGCAGGCTCATTGGAGCTACCAAGGTTGAATGAATCCTTTGCCTGTAGAGACCCTAGAGCATAACCATCCACTCGAAGCGCTCTTGAGCATCAGCATCAAGAACAGATGTACAGCCCATAAGTAAGTTAGACAATAGAATTATTTTAGCGTAAGTAATTACGTTGGCACTTCAAGAGAAATTTGCTGAGTCACAGGCCAATCTCTGTCTGTGGAACCACATTGCCATTCTGTTGGTAACACTTACACTTGAAATGTGCTTCCCAAGTTCTCACCTCACCGTTCATGTAGAACAGGATGGCATTTGTTCAGAAAGAAATGCAGGAAATGAAGCATTGCAGGTCCAGCTGATGACTCAGAGGTGCTGCAAACCCTCCTCTGGCCCCTCACAACCCTCTCAAGTATGGTACACCTGAAACTTGAAGTTTACTGTCTGGCAGGTTTTACATGGTTATATAAAAAATAATTTTATTTTAAATAAATTATCCACAATTTGTTGGTTTATCATCTAGTTAAAATTTATGAAGCATCAGTTTTATGCAGAAACACCATGTAAATGCTGGGATCCAACAATGAGTTTTCTGTCTGGTAGTGTAGGAGTTTGGGGGACAGATGGTCTTAAGATCATGATGTGTTTCCTGATTTCATTTCTTTGCATGTAACTTGCAGGTAGTAAGCCCGAATGCCTTCTGTTTGCAACATAATACAAACATAAGTACAAACCTACAAAAATAAGTACAGTCTGAACATTGGAATTGTTCCCCATTGCATGGGGAACCAGGAGGCATGAATCTGCTTCCAACCGTGTTCATGATCCAGGTCTTGGTTTCTTGATTCCCCTGGGGTGGTGGCTTGTAAACAGTGTAGTATGCATCTCACAGCCTGCCTTGTCTAGGAGTGAGTTTGGGCTCTTTTAGGTGTGCCCCTTGGTATCATTTCTCTAAGAATGGCATTTTCGAGGGAGGGAAATGTGGAAAGTTGTAAACTCTACACCGGAGAAATTCTAAAGACATCCAGGCTCTTATATTTTCATTGCCTTATTTCTTTTTCTTTTTATCACAGTACGACCAAAACTTTCTCTCAAACACGAGCTGTCACCCCATCATCTTATAATCCTTCCTGTTTTGTGATATTGCTCATTTAGCCAAAAATGTAAGATCACATTTTAACTTTATAAACTTAAATGAAACTTACTTTCTCGTCTTCTGGCTCGTCTTACACTTCCGTCTCTTGATTGAAAGCATACACACTGACCAGTGTATTCCTGTCTGCCGTGTTAGCTGGAATAACACTCTTGCAGTTAGTGTTTGTGCTGCCTGGGTGCTTCATTTATATTCAGCTGCTCCTTCCAGCTCTTCTACTTGGGAATTAGAAAAGTTATTTATATAGCACCCAAGGATATAAAAACTACAACCAGATTGTATCTCAAATTTAAAAACAGTTGCATTGGGGAGTTTTAAGTACAAGTTTGTTTGTGATCTTACTTTAAGTCTTTAGTTCAATTTTGGTTCCTAATCACCACTGGATCTTCATCATTTCCAATAAGTTCATAATATGTGCCTTCTAACTACATATCCCCTGCCCATTTTCTGTGACTCTCAAATCTTTGCTTTTTAACCATACTTTGATTGGAGTAACTGCCCAAAATAGTGTCGGTTGTAAAATTAATAGAATATAGATTCTTCACTGAGCTTAAATGGCAAGGTCTTCCATAGCTCGGTACCAGTTCCTGCCTGGTACCATGAGCTCTGCAGGCACAGGGACAAGGATGACTGTTTGTGCAGATGATATAGTATGCTGCCCAGATGTCTCTTTAAGATTGAGGCTCTTGTTGCCCCAGCTGCTGAGAATGTTTACTGGTGAAGGCTCCTAGTTAGGTCCCTCTGTGCTATTTATTATCTGAATGAAAATACTTCAATCAAAGTCACACTGCTTTCTTGGGGATCGTCATCTTGTGTCCACGGATAGGTGCAGCTATAAAGGCTCTCATCACTAGCTTTGTGGAAGGACAATTCTGCATGTCAATCCCAGCCATGAAATCTGTCGTGGCCCCATCTAGGTCTTGGTGGTAACTACATTGTAGATCTCACCTAGCCATTCCTTTAATCTCCCATAGATGCTGATCACAAGGATACTCTCGGTAACTTCCAGTGTGCAAAGTTGTCTCAGGATCTATTTTATAGGCGATACATGCTCAGACTAGAGTTTCATGGGGAGAGAGAAGAGAGATCACCATTTGGACATGTAGATGTCATGGGGAAAGCATTCCAAGAGCAACTCTATGGTAGCAGAGAATGTGGCTTATTTTAGCATAACAGAAGGAGGATCATGAGAGATTTCTTTTTCAGAGTAAGTGGACTTTGAGATTTATTTGTAAAAATCAGAAGATATTTTCTAGGGAAAGAAAATTAGAAGGTGACCTGGGCATGTGCACTGTTTTATAAAGATATAGCAATGAGCTCAGTGCGGAGGCTAAAAGATGAAGCCCACATGTGAGATTCATGGAATGAGAGGCCAAGTCACAAAGCACACCACTGACTGTAAGGGTTCCCAAGCTCTACTGGGCCCTTCTACTGTCTGCTCTCCTGCCAGACACGGCACCTGTTCCACATAGAAGATATGACCTGAACAGACTTAGAAGCATTTCTCTTCCACTGATTTTACTGAAGTCTGTTTTCTTCAAAACTGTTATTTTACATTCCATTCTATCCTACTTTAGAAAAGCTTGATATGTACATGAAGAGCCCAGCTTTTTATTTTAAAATAACCATGTATAAAAAGATGTAAAGCATCCCATTGTTGGAATTTAAATTTTAGGATTAGAAATTGCTAAAGGTTTTAAGTAGAGAGAAAGTAAACATGTGAACCCCACTTTCAAACCTCTGTCAAGGAATTTTCCATTTGTTTCTAGTACATATCTGGTTGTAGGAAATTGGCCCTTTCTTATGTTGTTGGTTAATCATTTTACCATTGAGAAACCTGAAATATGAAGCAGAGAAATCATACAGAATAAATTTTTATAAAATATTATGTATATAATATCAGACAATAGGTATTTTCAAAACCAGGACAATGTAGCATGTTCTTTATGTTGCATGATATCCTTGTTATGGCTATGTATGAGTTTGCCAGACCCCCCCCAAATGGCCAGGAGTCAGAAAAGTAGAAGTGTCAACCTCAAGTGCCCTCATGAGCTCAGTGACCCAGTTAGCCACTCAGCTCTAAGTCTATGACCTTACCTGAGAAGTGACAGCCTGGACAAGAGGGAATGCGAGAACCCTCCAGTCTGACAAAGTGAAAGAGGGCAGAGGTATGCAGTAAACGGAGTTGTTTAATGAAGGTTAAGGTACCCTTCATGACCAGCCAGCTACTTCCTTGGAAATGTCATTTTTTTTTCTGATTTTTCATGAGGCTAATTTTAGGCATATTTAAAGCTTGTTTTCATTGTAGAACTCTCCAGATTATCCATCCTGTGAATAGAGCTCTCACAGACCATAATGCTTTCCCTTAGAAACTGGCTGAGCCTTTTTGTTGCTCGGAGCCAGGCCTCAGCACAAACAAACAAGCTCTCTAGTCTAGCATTTTCAGGTTTATTCAACTCCATTACAGACTGGGTATAAGTAGAAAAAAGTTAAACCCCAGAGAAGCTAAACGGAAGCCCTAGGAAGATGATTTACCTCTGATCACCAGGGTAGAAAAGCAGGTTTGTCATTCTCCAGACCGTCATCAGCCCCAGAATTTCACCACTACAAGATGGGGGGGGAGAGAGTAGCTTAATGGTTTCCATGAGTTTAGACTGTGACCAAAGGCAACTACGGAACCTCAGGCAACCACAGCTCATAGGAAAGGATGATGATGGGTTTACCAGTTCATCTTAGGATGGATCCAGAGTTGGAGACAGTGGACCAGGGCTGTGCTGCCATGGTGGAGTTAAACAATATTTCTTCACTCATTCTTTCTGAAGGCATTCATCCCCAGCTTGTTTTTATCCCAAGTAGTCTACTGGGACAGAGAAATATATTCTTAAGAAACACTCCCTTCCTTTAATGAAATGACAGTATTGTGAGGTGATGAGGTGTATGTTCAGGTTGATCATCAAAGAGCCTTTTGAGCTCTATATTGGAAGGTCAGAATGGCAAACTGTCACAGTTCATGCAGTCATAGTCAAGACACAAAAGTTGGGTATTTGCCAGGGAGGGTGGGGAGGGGGTGAGAGTGAGTGTCCTGCTTGGATGTGATAAGGAGCTGAGCCAAGAGAGAGATCGAATGTCATTGAGGGAATTCAGTCTGTACTATGGTGCCATTGAAGGGTTTTGACTAGAAAAATATCTGGTCCCATTCATGTTTCAGGAAGCAAATTGGGCATTCTTGTAGAGACCTCAAAGGGGGTTATTTCTGGAGAGAGATAAACAAAGAAGCCAATGCTGAAGAGTTGTCTTGGGTCGGTTTTCAGGATGCCTGTTACCTTAATACAGACATATCTCACCTCAGGGCATCTGAAGACCTCACAGTAAGAAGGCAGTGTCTCCTTAATTCCCAAGCACCATCCACAACTGTGTCTCCCTGTTGACATCTATACCCTACGTTGATTCCGGACTCTACTGAGTCACTTCAGATACTTCATTTGAGAATCACACATGTCACACATGACAAGAAGATTAGTGGTTGAGAACAGTCTGGGGCAGGGTTAAGAGCTAACCCTTGAGTGTTGACTTGCTGAATAATTAGCTTTTGAGGTTCATATGTGTTCCTAAGGCTCAGCATATTTTCAAATCCAGGTAAATCTGATTTCTTAGTTTACTTTTCACAACCTGACCACCCCTTTATGTCCAACATTCCTATCAGGGGTTCATTTAGCTTGAATTTTGAGATTTTAAATGAGAGCTTTGGTTTGGGCTCTACAGAGAGGTGTATACTTGTCCCAGTCATTACATAAATAAAAAGTTAGGTGCCTCAGTGACCCTAGTAGGTCTTTAATGTTGAATCATGTTTTACTTGTAACAGTAAAGCAGTTTTCTAAGTACAGGACCTGGGCAATATAGTTCAGTGAACACATCCAGCCTACCACTTGTTCTTATAAATAAAGCTTTACTGAATTACAGACCCTTTGCATGTGTGGGCTCAGAGGCAGCCTTTGCCCAAGGTGGGTACAATGAGTGGTTAGTACCACAGGTCCTTACTGTCTGAACTTCTACAGAGACCTGTGTCGTCACTCTTGGTGAAGTAGAAAGGAATGCCGTAGAAGACAGACAGTGGGTATTGTAAAACATGGGTTTGCTGCCTACTGCCTGGGTGATCCCCTCCGACCTGCTTGTGCACATCATTCCCACTGATGCTGCCCACTGCCTTCCCTAGAGTGTTGTGATACACACTGGAGCCTTGGCGTTCTGCTGAACTGTTTTCTTTCTTTCCTCAGAATACTCTGGAGCAGTGCAATGTGTGTTCCAAGCCCATCATGGAGCGAATCCTCCGTGCCACCGGCAAAGCCTACCATCCTCACTGCTTCACCTGTGTGATGTGCCACCGCAGCCTGGATGGCATCCCGTTCACCGTGGATGCTAGTGGCCTCATCCACTGCATCGAGGACTTCCACAAGTGAGCAACCACTCTCGCCTCCAACCTGCCAGTCCTCTTGAAGTTTGCTCCCATTGCCTATCACTGGCCATGCTTCTTTCTGAGCTATATATGCCAGGATCTAGGGATATATTCAGAGACTTATCTCCAGTGCAGGGAATGACATTCAGGAATCCCTGTCATTATCCAGTTTCTCTTGTATTTAGAGCTTCTCTGCAATCGATCATGATAAATCTTTGTACAACTATAGATATGGGTGAGCCGACTCAGTTCAACAAGGGCCATGGCATTTGGCAGAGCTTGACTTAATGGTCTCCTAACTGTGACAACCTCTGCACCCCTGTTAGTGTACAGGTAGGAGGTGCTCCTAGATAGTTGCATAGATACAGACAGCCATTCTGTCACACAGTTTCAGTGTGCAAGGCAGCTTCATGCCACAGCCAACATGTGCATGTCCTCCCTTAGCCGCCTCCCCCACCAAGGTCTTGTGTGCCTCAATACTCTTTCTGAGCACATAGCTAGTGCAGTACTTATTATGCAGCATTTTGAGAAGCATCAGAAAACAAATTCTCAGGATCAAGTCTACTAAACCACAGGCAGACCTAGGAACATGATTCCCCTTCTTCATGTGTCCAATTTTATAGTCCCTGTTTCTTCCATTATAGGAGGTTTTGAGAAAACGATAGCTTTGTGTTTTTCTTAATTGTACTGGTTAGCTGGCTACCTGGTTCATCACATCAGGGTCCATGTTTATTATGGTCTGTGTGGAAAGCTGCAGGTATGACTTGCTAATGCGAGGCAGGACGGCCTCCTTGCTTCCGTTCACTTTAAGAGTGGTTTTTGAGGCCCCCAAAAGATGAAGCACATTGCTGACCATTTTGGACTCCACTCTGGGACTCAAGATGGGCTGTGGGTTTCTTTCACCACTGTGGATTGCCAACATCCAGAAGGGACTTTCCACAAGCAGTTTGGGGACCTGAGACTCATATTTTTTAAATGAACTTCCTGACCACTCTCCCAAGGAGCAGTGAAAGCAAAAACCTCCCCAAAAGACGTGAGGCTGAATGAATGTAAAACACGAGGAAATTTTCAACCTGAATTAGACAAGAAAAGGCTCGCTTTTAAAGGGCAGTCACAGCATAAATTGTACTTCACATTATTGCTATTTTTAGCTTGTAATTACACATAAAAAATCTGCATCTATTTAAGGGACATGAAAAGATACCAACAGGGAGTGTTTTTCTGTCACCACTTCTCTCCTCTTGGAGACTTTCACAAGAAAGACAGGTAGATGTAAGCAGGGTGCACACGTTTGCGTTGCAGGGAAAGCCTGAGCTATTACACCCCTCAATTAAAAGAGGAAATCAGTTCTGAAAAATGTAAGCTTGTGTCTCTGCCACTTACCGTGCATTTCTAGTGGTGGGCAGCATGATTAGAGACTTGCAAGGAGTGACATAAGCGTGTGGGTCTGAACACTAAAACAGCAGCCTTGAGCAACCGAAAGGGAGGGGACACATACATCTCAGGCCCCAACCCCTTCCCCCTTCCAGTGCACATGAGAAGAAATAACTTCTAAAAATGATGTTATCTGCACAATTAGCAGATATGGCAGGGGTAGCTTCTGGATACCACTCATTGATGAAAGGGAAATAAAAGAACATTTTCCAGAGTGCTTATTGCTTAGCTTTGAAAGCACTAGAATACAGAGTGGCTCACCTTCCACCACAGGGTACTGGCCTTCTGGCACGGGTGCTAGCCTTCCAGCATAGGGTGTCTACTGAACAGCCAGGGCCACCAACAGAGGGGCAGAGCCAGCTTCTCTACTTTGGGAAAGCTTCTTAGCTTTTTCTGAATGGGTCTCCATTCAGACACTGGACACAGAGAGCTAGATGAAGGTAGTTGTCAGTGCTGGACTTGCGGAAAGAGGCAGAGTATGCCAGCATAACAGGATACAGGGCAGAAAGGGCAGCACCGGGAGGTAGCCACAAGGAAAGCTGCCCTGTCTTCCTCAGAACTGATCGTTGACTCTGGGGTTCAGACAGGTCTCATGCAAGCAGAACCGGAAGTGTGCTGTGAAGGCGGATGAGAAACGGGGGGGGGTGACTGGTAGAGGAAATAGGGGTTGGCTCTGGCATGGCCTCTTAAATGGCATCTCAGAACTTGTCACTTGAAGGGCAGAATCTTGAGCTTTAGCAAATGGGCCATTTCCATATAAATACCTTTGGTTAAGGTTGACTCATGTCCTACAGCCCCCTGGGAATTGAACTCTTTTACAGATCGCCAGTAACCAATGAAACCTCCCTTGTAGGTGAACTATTTTAGGCCCTGTACACAAGTATGTGGGAGGTAGGCAGTTCACACACACACACACACACACACACACACATACACACACACACACACACACATACACTCCTTCCTCATTTTACCTCCATGGCTATCTTTAAAGGCTAAAGACTTCTTTGATTTATACCTCTCCTTATCCCCAGTTATGAATTCATGCCACCTTTATATTTGAGTAATTTTGTAAGTCAATCATATTGTTGCCTGCTTTGTAATGAACTATATAGATGAACAAATTTTTACAGTAACCCGCTTAGATAATTTTTGCAAGAAGGTAGACTATATATAAAAGTTTAGAACAAATACAGAAGCATGGAGAATTCCCCATCAGGTCTGTGCTAGAATCTCCTTGAGTGTGTGTTTCTTATGCCAGGGTAGTGGGCTTACACTGCTCTTTTTAATGTATGAGGCATACACAGTGTGATCTGTGTCATGTGTGGTGTTATTCAGGCTTCCTGTTCCTAGCCAAGTAGGAAAGGTCTATTTGGGCACCTGGTTTTCAGAACTTCTGGTCCATAGTAAGCTTGACCTATGGTAAAGCAGTATATAGTAGAGCAAAGGTATAACTGGACAAATCTATTTGCTTCGTGGCTGTCAGGGACAAGATAAGCCCTGGAAAGGTATGCTGTCATGATCTTCTTCATCTAACTAGCTCATGCCCTACATCTCCACCACCTCCTGATAACACCACTGCACTATGACTCTAACAATGGAGAAATCTGTTGTAGTCAAAGATGTCACAATCCAGTTAGCTCCCAAAGGTTCATCAGCCAGCAACTAAGTATCAAGTATATGAGCCCAAAGGGACATTTCATAGCCAAACTATAGCCCTGATCCATTTGGTTGTTTAATTTAGTATTCATTTGCTAATTTGCCAAAAATATGTTGGATGTGGAAAGACTAGGTTCATGACTCCCTTGACTGAAGAATAGAAATGATAATTCCTCATAATGTGGCCATCAACAGAAAATAATAACATGTATACAGTGCCTAAGAGAACTTGGCATTTAGCAGGCACTTAATAAATAGTAACTGTCAAAACTGTTTTCACATTATTATTACTATTATTATTATTATTATCATCATTATCATTATCATTCACTTGACGCAAACTAAGCACTGGAAAACACCACCTCAGATCATGAGACCACAGTGACAGCTCCTGCCTTGCTCTGTTGCTAAGGAAGAGTGATTGGTTAGTGAGAACGTAGTTTCGGGCTGTCTAGAGAAGGGCCATGAGACCAGACATAAAATCTTTCTCACAGAAAAAGATAGCAGGTGTTTCATGTCACTAGGAATTGCCCAAATTCCTCCTGTAAGACCCATATAGTGGTTACTAAAGACAGAAATAATTACTACCTAAATAGGTAAAGTAAAAAAAGAAAAGAAGAACTCGTGTCCTAGAGGAATACATCTACCTGGGAAAAATGGAGGCGGCTGTAGCTACTTCTGCCCTCACAGTGTCCTTGTAGCTGGGGAAAGGAAGTTTTGCAGTTGGTAGCAGAAGTCTGCCTATTTTACTACTGATAACCCAGATTCAAAAATAATCAGGTAATCCAAAGCAATTTTTGCCACTGAATATAAACTTCTTGCATAAAATATCAATTATAACAACCCTGATTACTACTGCAGTTGTACCATGATCCTCTTAATTTTTCTTTCACAGCAATCAATCGATCTGCTACTTAATTCATATTTATTTAGATTACAGCCATACAGATGCCTTTTGGGTGCCACCAGGAAAATTAAAATGTACATACAGATCATAATGTATGTAAAAATGCCTTGACAGCCGTGCAATGCTCTGCACAGTATTAGATTACTATCATTATTTCCTTTTAAGTCTTACTACAAGTAGATAAATTTTAACATCATTAATCTTAAAACCTTTACCGTGAAAAACTTTAGTAACTTGTGCAATCTCTTTATATATATCCCTTTCTTTCTTGTTTGTTTTTACTTTTTGAAATAGGAGCTGCTCACTTGGTAGCTCAAGCTAGGTTGGAACTTAGAATGATCCTCCTGCCTCAGCCTCTCCAGTACTAGGATTTCGTATGTGTTGGTTCTAAGTATATTTTAACGATTTTCTTCAGTTCTTATCTGTGTGCATTCCAATTATGCCTCATTTTACACCTTCACAAATACTATCCTTAAATTCTAGAAAATACAGATGGATTCATAGCCCATTTTTTTCAGTCTACTAATCTGCTAAGACAAAAGGTTTTGTTGGTGAATAACAGTAAATTAAGAAATATATTAAAGTTCTTCACCAATAACTTCAAACACGTGTGTGCACACGTGTGTTATAGACTTTGATCATGCTAAAATCCCTTATGTAAACAAAGTGTAAGTAATGTGTACTTTGCCATTGTGAGTTTTTCATAAACTGTATAGTAAAACCACCACCCTCTGTCATTTGTTAAAACCTGTGTGTTTGAGGCTTCTTGTGGCCTAGAATTGAAGATACATTTTAAAGAAAAAAGCTGCAGAGATTCTTAATTGCAGGATTTGTCTAGGTCACAAAGAAGCCACACTAACATTTAGAAGTAAGTCAGAGGGTAATCCAAACCTGCCAAAACCTTTGTTCATCCATGTTCAGGCAGGACCTTGTTCTCTGTATTCAGCTAGGTCATGCCTTGGTACTATAGTGTGGTTCTATGTACAGGATTGCTGCATCTCGAATGCCTGTTAAAAAGTCCCTGAAGGCTCTCTATACAAAGCAGTTCACACCCTCTTCCCAGTTCCCACCCTTGTCCTGTGAAATATATAGCTTGCACCATCTGTAGAGGCCTCTTACTGTCTCGTTCTCTTTGGGTCAAGGTCACACAGGACATACAGACCAGGTGTCGTCCTGTAAGGTTCCCTTTCGTGCTGTGTCCCTCTCCATCTGTGTATCTATACTTGACATCTCACCAGGATTCTGTCTATTTTTAGGAAATTTGCCCCGCGCTGTTCTGTGTGCAAGGAGCCTATCATGCCTGCCCCAGGCCAGGAGGAGACCGTCCGCATCGTGGCTCTGGATCGTGATTTCCATGTGCATTGCTACCGCTGTGAGGTCTGTGGCATCCCCAAGTCAGAGCAATCATGAAACGTGGAAACCTTGGTCCCTAACAAAGACCTTAGTGTTAACAGACAAGATTCAGCTCTGACACTGTTAGTTAATGCAGTGACATCACACAACTTACCCCACTCGGCACAGTCCCTCTCTGTTCAAATGCTTCAAATTATTACCCCTCCCGATGTAGCTGTGAGACCGAACACAAAATTATATGTCATAGGACAGTGTAAACTATTAAGCTAGATGAAAGGTGGTGATGATGATGATGATGAATCTGTAGCTAATGATTTGGGTAACTGCTGCTTTGGGCAGAGGGGCCATTACCACCCAGGGAAAAAGACAAGAATTCATTCATTTCAGAGGTGCAGGAACATCTCATTCAAGGTCATCTGGGTATATTTATATAGTAGGTAGCTTCCAAGTGTCACTTAAGAGGTCATAACTGCTAAGAGCCATAAACGAGTCAGACACAGGATGCTGTGAGAATCCATAAGACACATCCATATCCAGCCTAGAAGTGAGGAAAGAAGCTTAGCTAACACTGTGGGGACATGCGGCCATTACTTACAGCAAAGGGCAGGGGTCTTTTCCCTCATCATTTGAGTTTTAAAAGGACAGTATATTGAGAAAATGGTTTTGAAATATTTCACCTTCTTCTGTGAGTTACTTAGTCCCCTCCTTCCAAACACTTTTCTTTGTCATTTCCAGCTCTCGTGAATACAGCATGTTTCAGCTCCTGCTCCTCTCTGTTTGGGATGCAGGATTTCTCACCCCTTCATCCTCATAGTCCAACTAAAAAATGCCTGAGGATGCCGGCTGGCAAGGCTCTGAGGGCCCCAGAGAATCTGTCCATTCCACTCACTGCCCTGCCTGTAACTGACCATCTGGTTTTGCACTATGCTTTGTTCTGTCATAAGCTCAGGTTATATGCTCCTCTCCAAGCTTAACATGAAGAAATACAATAACAAAGTAATGGCTTTTAAGCGAGGTCTATTACAGGACGAAAGAGAATATCATTGTTTAGCCATCATCTTTCCAGTGACCCAGTGATGAGGCCACAAGAGTGTAGCAAGCCTTTAGCAGTCATTTTACAGGAGATCCTAAGGCTGCAAGAAGACTGGCAGCACCCTCCACCCCCACCCCATGCCATAATTCTTCACATACTCCATTGCATACCCCTAGGCTTTGACTTGAGTTCTTGCATCCAGTGTGCTGTAAAAATTAGATTTGTTTTTAAGTGATGAAAACTTTCAGAAACAAAACCATAAAATGGGGAGAGTACTGAATTAGAAGACAACAAGCCCACTGCTCTTGTCTAGTCTGTTACCCTGAGAAATGCTGAGAATGGACCATTCCACTCTGCATTCTGGCCCTTTCCTTGAAACGATGAGAGTGGACCATTCCAATCTCCATTCTGACCTTTTCCTTGAAATGATGAGAGTGGACCATTCCAGTCTCCATTCTGACCTTTTCCTTGTGTTGTTCCTCTTGGTGTTATGACTCTAGAAACCCATACTTCCAGTACTATGGTCAGCATTGGACCTCTTACAGGGTCCAAATGCCTGGACTCCTTAAATACTTGAAATTGGGCAGGGGAAATGGCACCATCAGTAAAGTATGTATCACACAAGTGTAGAGACCTACATTTGGATCCCAGGTACCTATGTGAAAAGCAGGAGCTGTTACTTACGCAATAATACCAGCATTTGGGGAAGGAGAAAGAGGAGATCTCTTGGGCTGCTGCAGATCCCTAGAACTAATTGACCACTCACTCTAGGAAAATTAAAATGAGCCCTAGATTCAGTGAGAGTCCATCTTAAAATGTAACAAGGAGAATGGCAGGGGAAGACACCAGACATGGACACACACACACACACACACACACACACACAAACTGTGCCGACTATGAATGACATTATTGTGATTTGAAATATTTTTTTGTTTAGTTTCATTAGTTCCTGAAGACAACTCAAGGTACAATATATCACTGGTTCTTCCTGGCAAAGCCACACTGAAGGTGGATCATAACTGTGTCTACTGTTGTACTTAGGATCAGCCCTGTTTATACCAAGAGCTTATTATTTGTCAGCTGTAGACATGCCTTCATTCATCTCCTTGCCGCTCTTAGTGAGCAGAGGGGAGCTTTGCAGCCATCACAGCCAGCGACAGCTCTCAAAGTGAGCAGGGCAGACAATGCTAAGTATCGCTCTGCTTATTTTCTGAGCACTCATTTCTTCTAAAGTCAAGGACTGCCATTCACTGCTCCCTAACACTTTCCACAATGGACCTCATCAATACCAACACTAGTGCAATCCTTTACACATAGAGTGCATTCACATCCATTATCTGCTTTGACCATCCAAAAAGCCTGGTTAGTTAGAAACGGCCTTAATTATTTTCAGAATGGCATTCAGTCTTGTGTGCAGCCTGTACAGACAGTGACAAACCCAATAGTGGCACCCAGGGAACTTGTCTCCCATTATAATGTGTCCCTCTCCACTGTGCTACTATCCCTTTGGAAAAGCAGGACAAACCATTAGTCCTCCCAGCCCTTGGAGTTTTGTGTCCTTGCTACAATTGCAATAAATATGCAAAAGCCATTGTTAGCCTTGCTACGTGACAGAACCACTTTTCTTTGATTTAAATGGCCATGAACTTCCATTCTTGCACCTGTCCATTCTTTTGAGGAGATGGTAAAATTGAGGACAAAGGATAGTGTGCATTAGGGACCATACTTTATTCCCCCTTAATGTTGTTTAGGAGAGCAGATTAACCCCTGAGAGCTGAAAGTGATAGGCTCTTTCCTCCTTGTACTATGTTTTGCAGTCAGTGACCAGAAGACTCAGTCATTTTATACCATCTATTTGTTTTGAGAGTCTTTATAGTCCTTGCTGGCCTAGAAGTTGCTATGTAGACCAGGCTGGTCTCGAACTCACAGAGGTCCGTCTGCCTCTTCTTCCCAATCCCTGGGATCAAAGGCTTGTACCAGCACTCCTGGCAGCCATTTGCCCTCGTGTTATTGACGTCTAATTCAGTTTCATTCACAATCTGCTATGTCATGTACTAAGTATGGAGTCTTGTGGACACATCACAGAAACCTTGTAAAGAAGGCCTGGGAAGCTAGATTTGTGCCTGTGCTTCACAGTTTCACTTCTGTCTTTGTTTCCCTAGGATTGTGGTGGTCTTCTGTCTGAAGGAGACAACCAAGGCTGCTATCCCTTGGATGGACACATCCTCTGCAAGACCTGCAACTCAGCCCGCATCAGGGTGTTGACCGCCAAGGCAAGCACTGACCTGTAGAGTCGGTCACCCGCTTAGCAACTGAGTGTGTGCACTGAGAAGAATGAAACACAAGAAAAAGATAAGAGAAGAAATAGAAAAATAGAGGCAAAGCTCTCAGCGTCTGAGATGGTCTCTGTTCTTCATCTGCTGTTAACCTTTTCTTTAGAAGCACATACATGATGAGATTTGTTTAAGTTCCTACCAAATACACATTTCACATTTAATCACGTAGGGCCTTGATGAGCCTTTGTTGCAAGGACTTCCACATTTTTGCACAGATTATGCTCCGTCCCACTCACTTCTGCATTCCTGTAACATTTAATCCTCGTGTTTGTCTCACTTTTCATCTGGTTGAATAGATTTTTCGTGTGGTATTTGCTGTCACATGATTTTTCCTGGGTGAATGTGCCAGACTGCAGGTGCTTTTAGCTTGACATCTCATCCTGTCACTTTCGCTCTGGCTGTGGCTACAAAAGTTAGCCATTCTGTTACCAGGTATTGAACTACACTCACGTCTCCTGGTAAAAAATAAACGTGAGACAGGGTATGTGCACATTTTTTTTCTGTGGGCTATAAAAATTTATTTGAAAAAATACATAAATTAACAGGAGTCCAAATTTAGTTTGCAATTAATTATCCAAATTTAAAATCTGTAGTGACCAGTGGTCAAGGCTTATTTGAAAATGTTTATTGGCCAATAGCTAAAATGTGGGGAAAGAACCAAGTTTCACTACTAAGCTAAAGAAACCAACTGGGAAATGCTAGCCAAAGGTTGCTATGTGTATTTGAAAAGCCCATTATGTTTCAACAATTCTACCTTGAGATTTTCCTCTCCACACTATTTGGATGTAAGACAGACAGACTTGCTTTTGGTACATTTCCAATTCTGTCTGACACTTCATCTTAGAAATACCGTGAATTTTCCCCTAATACACAAGCTCGGTTACCGCAATTAACATTTATCTACAGAAAGGGATGTATTAAAAGGAATCAAATTCTTGTCTTTCTTTCTTTTTATAATGACCCAAATCTATTTTTTTCCTGAAAATTGCAAATTGGGACATATAAAATGAAGTTATGTAACCGTGTTTCGTCTTCTTTAAAAAAGAAAGAAAAGCTGCAAAAGATTGTGAAACCGAGTTTGATTGTTCTTATAATCCTTTTCCAACTCAAGTACATATTGCAGGAGACATTTTCCTATCTTCAATGTGACATTTACACCACACTTTCAAAGACAATCACTGAAAACAAAATTGTCTTTCTGAGCTAAAAATATTCAGAATGGCTGCCTAGAATCTTTCTGGGAACTCTTATTAGCCGGTGAAATGCTTGCTTGCCAACTGGAGCCAGATTCCTTCCTTGAGAGGAGACACCTCGCTTAGCAATTGCAGCTGGCCATTTTGTGAACTCAGTACTCAGTATCTCAGGATGAGATTTCCCAAACCTTTCTTTAAATCTTCTACAAATATATACTTTTAAATTATGGAATATTTTAAATATACCGAAGGGTATAAATAATAATATAATGAATCCCTCTGTAGCTAACATCCAGTCCTAGGAATGTAGTCACCTTAAATCCCACACATACCTTTTAATTTCTCCTATGCAGTGCTGGGAGTTGAACTAGGACCTCGTGCTTGGCAAGCACCCTGCTACTCCTGCATCCCCAGCCTGACTGTGTCTTTTTTTTTTTTTTAATCTTCATGACATGATGATCTTCTAGTCTGACAGTTTTAATTTTAACATTTAGAACAAAATTCTTTAAAATTACTTGTGTATGTTTAAAATTGAATCCTATGCCTCAGGAATTCCATAAAGTTTATTTTACTTGAATAGAAGTCATCATAAAAGAAACCTTTAAGCCTTTGTCACTCAGCTCACCTGGGAGTCTCTGTGGCTTATTTACTTTCCATGCTAAGCAGTTTGCATGTTAGACTCCCCAAAGCTATGCATACCTGCTTCCCTCCTCTTGGGATTCATGGAGGGCAGCTTGTGGATTTCAGGATATGGTGGTAGCTCTATCCCTGAATTCCTGTGTTCCAAATCAAAGGCTTGGCTGTGCCAGTGACCTTGGAGAACACTGGCTGTCACACAGTTGAGGTAGCAATACAGTCTGCTTGAAGTGCCTAAAATGTTCACCAGGAAATTGACTTTATGCCAAAAATAGAGTCCAGTTTAATGAGGGCAAGAATTATGTCTAGAAATGCAATAATATTGCTATAAATTCAAGCAACAGAGGAGGAATGTATGTAATAGTTATACTATAGAGCAATAACATCCTACTTGTTTGTTACATTTAACTACTTGTGTAGCCAGATGTTTACATGCAAGAGTTATAGGAAAATGCTACCACAGTTTCTTCCCTGAGGTTTTACAGGCAGAGCTCTGCCTGCTGACAGCCTTCCCAGTGCTTTCTCATCAAGTAACCTCAGAGTATCTTTACCAAAGATTTTAAAGTGAATTTCTTTTTAATATAGACTTATACTTTTATAATAACGAATGTGCACATACACCTATACAGAAATATTTAGAATTAGATGTTTTTCTTTCACAAGGTCTAATAAGTATAAAGGATCCTAACACTTTATTCAGCAATTTCTTTAATATATGATTTGCATTTCTTTCTTGTTTTCTCCTATTACACATTTGATTTAAACAATACCAAGACACTCTGTTCTTTACTCTTTTAGCTATATAAAGTTTTGCCTACTGTAGAAATATAAAGATCATATTACTTTAATGATTATACACATTGTCTTTTGATATATTACCTTACTATCGTTTAAATACATAAATAGAAAAACTATAATGCTTGTAGCAGAAAACTTGTAAAAATCTATCTGAATTGTTTAAATATCAAGAGCACAAACACTTGGTTATTCCATGTAAAGTGAAATACATAGGAACAGGAAAAAACCCCATTGTCATGGGCTCTGCAGAGAACGTTTCAAAATAAGATTTCCTTTCTATTTCTATAGTGGTAGGGATAGATCTCTGAGCTTTGCACAAAACAGACAAGTGCTCTTCCATAGCTAAACCTCCCATCCATAAAAAGATTTGCTAACTATTTAGGTTCCCATCTCAGACTGGCTCAGTCTGGAGTTGGGGAAACAAAATTGCCTTCAAAACTCAAAACTGTGCCCTAGGTCAATGCCTAGGCAGTAATGAAATATTGTCATCTCCACAGCTCAAAGATGTGGGTTTTTTCCTGTCACTAGCACATTGTTGTCCCTACTACAATGCCTTCTCTGATGAAAATGACTACCAGGGTTATATGCTCATTAATGAAACGAATTTAAAAACACTAATTTTTTTCTATGAAAAGTCTGCACATGTGTCTATGGTAAGCTTTTAAGAGACATGGACCCTCATGACGATGTACAGCTGTTTTGTATTTGGGTCCAGAGGCAGGAGAACATGCTCTCTGAGAGACTGCAGGATAGCACTGACAGACTACAGACAGGACTCTACGAACACAACTGCCAACCATCTTCCTAGTTACTACAAATCCTATTAATGTGAACCAGTCAGGAATAACAGTGTTATTTCTATTTGACATGGTTTGGGTTTCTCCTGTCAGCTCTATGTCGCTTGCCCTCTGATCCTTCCATTATCAAGTTTTGAAGGGTGTCAGGAAAATTATGGCAGCTGCTAGGGAGATCAGGGAAACACTGATGCCACCTCCCAGCCTCTTACCATCCCTCTTGGCTTGGAAAGGCATTTTTTATATACATTTCTAGAAATATTGCCATTCTACCTTAGTATTTCACATTTGTAGTTTAAACAAGTGATTGTCCATCTGTTGCCTAAAGCTACAGTACATGTGTGTTATGAATGAAATATGACAGCATGTTCCATACCCCTGCTTCAGCCATCTGTAGACAACCAGCAACCAAAAAAGATACCTCTGCAAAATGTGCCTCGAGTCCATGTCCTGGGATGGCTCCTCTGGTGCACTTTCATCAGAGACAATCAAAAGCAGTCTTTAATTGTGCCTTATTTTTAAATAATCTGTTTACACTACTATGACTGTTGTTCAATAATAGAAATACTTAAACCCGAGATCTCAGAGGGGGGTAGGGGAGAGGAGATTGAGGAGAGCTGCAGCACTCTTCATGTATTATTTCTTCAGTTTGGAAGGACCTCATAGGTGTCTATGAGAGCATGCGCATAGCTGAGATCATGATAGGCTTTGTAAGTGCTCATGATTTGATCTTCCTCTTGGTTTACTCAAATAATAAAGACAGACGAAGACAGACACTTGAGCCCATAACATCCATTTATCACACACATTTTTAAATTATATTATTTGTTTGAATTAATAAGGGCCAGTCTTGATTATTGAGCAAGTTATGATTGTGCTACAACCATGAATATTTCAGGACAAGTTATTTAACTTGCTGATAATTGGGATGAAGCTGCTTGTGGTGCTGTGGGTGTGGTTAGCATAGCTTTGTTTCAGACCTTTTACAATTAACCTGGCCAAAGTTACTGTGATTTAATGTAAGTGTTTAGCCCCTTGCTTTCTCCTCTCCTCTCCTCTCCTCTCCTTTCCCACCGCCTTCCCTCAATTTCTTCCTTCCATTGTGCCTACTAACGCTGCCCTAATTGGCCCGCCTCATAAGTCTAGTTAGGATACCATAACATTATGACCACATTAAAGGAGAAAGACGACCAGAGCATATACTTACCATCCAGAAAAACCTGGTTTTACAGGGGCATACTCTTTAGGTTGTATTTATTCCTAGAAGGAGATGCAGTCTTCAGCCGTATTTTAATGAGTCCTTGTTGAGGACTTCAGTAGTAGAGTTCTTCCTTTAAAAGAAGAACTGCCTTGTTTCTTACCTATGTATATGCAAAGTGTTCTTTCTAAAGTTAGACTGGGATTTGTTTTTAACACAACATTTTGACCACAAAGTACTCACATCTTTAGTGATAGAACATCATTTTGTCCCATTGAAATTAACTTGATAATTTTCCTTGTGGCAAGGGGAAACTATTAACTTTCCCAATTTTCAACATTGCAGCACTTAGCCCATGATCCATATTAAATGATAATAATTGACTCAGTATTTGCAAGGGGTAGTTTAACACTAGGAATTTTCTTGAATGTAGACTATTTTACAGGCATATTTTCCCTTAGCACAGAGGAGAAAGATACTAATTTACTTTTCTGTTTTAATTTTTCCTTCCTTATGCAAAAATTTTAGACAATATTTTAGTTAACCACCATACATGTAACTAATTGTGGAGAGCTATGTAAAAGACACATTTTTGTCCATCTGATTGGGAAAAAATGCTCAAATCTTTGCTCTTTGCTTCTGATTGGTATTTGTTTTATAGTACTCTCTAAGCAGGATAATAAGTATCTCTACTTCTAGCATTTGTTAAAAATTATCATACTCAAATTCCTTTGTACTATTTGGAATGAATGGCTAAGTTTCCAAGATGCCCATCTACTTAGAGGCAAAATAAAACTTCGTTTATCTAACTCTGACAGTCATCTGCTAGGCTCCAATAGCATAGTGTTTAACTAGCCACAATTGCACTCTATGAACTTATCTTTGAACATAACTTCTAAATTCAGTTCTCAATCTGAGAAGCAAAATGTTCTGCCAAGAATACAGATGTCACCATGTCACCTCATGCTCTACCCTAGTGCTGAGAGTCTTGTTGAACACAAACATACTCGGGTGCTGTGCCTGGGTGAACAGTATTATGGCTCTTATAAAGATCTGCATTCTCTTGTTTTTGTGACTGATGGCTATAACATCTATTACTGGAGATGGCCAGTGTGGAATACTACTCAAAGCAATGCAACCTAGCTGAAAAATTACATAAAACCATTCTAGACTCTTCACCTCTGTGGATTTGATACCACCAAGTCCTTCAGCTTCACATTTATTGACATTGACAATGCCTCTTACTCTCCTGTCTCCAGTGTCAACATTACCCCCAAATATTTCCTAATTCTGTTTCCGTCTACTCCGTGACTCAACAATTGCTGTTCACCATTCATCGGGTGGATGAAAGCACTTTTCTCAGGGTTTCAAGGAAAGGAATGGGAATCCTTCAGAGGTAACTGATGAGATGCCTTGAAACGATTTCCCTCATAATGGTGGAGCCACATGTGCAAAACAGCCCTCTTATTTTCGGTGCTGTTTTGTTTGTTTGTTTAGCTTGTTTCACTGCTGGTTTTGATGCTGATAGAAGACAGGAAGTGAGCTAAGGCATATTACACAAGGGTCCTTCTGTTTGGCCTCATAAAGTCTGCCATGTCCTTTTTCTTTATGCTTGTCTTCTCAAAGATCTTACTTGTCTACATTCCCATGACGGATAGAGAAAAAGGTTCTTGATACTTAGTAAGTTCGGCATCGATACTAGTCTTTGGTTTTGAAACTCTTCCATTCATTTCTAGTATTTGTGTCTAAAGCAAGCAGCTTCCCTCCATGATCAGTGATGTATCTTGTTTTGTCCTCTCAATATCCTTATTCCTTAACTGATCATTGTTGAATCACTCTGAGAGATTCAGGCTGATTGCACTAAGATAAAATAGTCAGTCTAGATACTTCTTCCTAGAAAGGAGTGTGGCATGGAAAAGACTAGTTCCTCACAGTGGCCTCTATGGGAGTTCGGGAGGACATGTGAGGACACTGTAGCCTGACTTACTGACTTCATTGAGAAATTGGAGGAAGAGTCCTTAAAACCCAACCCGACAGCATAGGCTTCTTCCTGCAAAGCTGTGTTGGCCATGATGCATGGATTCTGGAGTCTTAGTAAGAACAGAATCTTTCATATATTCAGGCTCAGTGAGAGAGAAAAGGCACCAAAGAAAACTGAACCATAGATACTTTCCCATAAGCATTATAGTTGGAATAGGAGATGATTGGCCAGACACAAGCAACCCATACATAAGAAACAGTCCCTGTGGCCTTTGTTGCAACAAGTGATTCTTACTGAACCACACTATCGTCCTCTATGCTTGCAGCAAATGTGCCTATCTTTTGAACCCTCAAAAAGGAACAAGTAGGCCTTGTCTACTTTTTTATTCTTCTAGGAACACAATTAGGGCTCTAAGCCATCTGTCATGCTGGGTGCTCCAGTTCCCTCACGGACTCCCTGCTGCACAGTAAAGTTTGCTGAAATTGTGCCCATACCCAGGAACTCATCACCCAGTGAGGAAGTCCCTCTCTTTCAGCTGTCCTTGTCATTAAAACAGAGCCTGTCTTTGGACTCATATTCTCCAGGGTCCATACAATAAAACGAACACACAAAACATAATAAAATACCAACTTACCCATTGTTTTTACTTTCATTGTTTATTTTGTTTTTCCATGATCTATCACTTTTAAAAACAACTTCCATTTTTAGCTGAGGAGTAGAAATGCTTTAAACCTCCATAAGAACAGTCAGAATGCTCTCTGACAACTGCATGTTAGATTGTGTGGATTCTGCTGCTTGTGTTTTCTATTCAGGAAACAAACCTTTCTGATTGGGGTTCGATAGCTTTGTGCCCTCCCTTAGTAACTGTCCCGTGAACAGTTTGCTCCATTTATCTGGCTCACTGATAATGACCTTAAGAATGTTGGGAAACATCGCTGTGTGATCTCTAGCTTTCTTGCACAAGGAAAAAGTCGAAAGGAAAGTACTGGTGGAAACCCATTGCTTCCGATCAGTTCTTCAGCACACTGAGTTTACCGTTCTTAAGGAAAGGAATTGTATGCTGCTGTGTTTTATGTAAAGATGGATAAATTCTCTCCCTGTTGCCCGGGGTCACAGTTTCACCAGCAGCCATTTGTCTTGGGAAGAACAGCATTGTGTCTCTGCTGCCCCAGCTTTTTTTGAGAACCTTTAGCAAGAACTTGCTATTCGCCCCTGGGTAGGTAGCACCTATGGGTGGATTTCTGAGCTGTAAAATAATAAAAGTCCTGAGAGGGCTTACAAACTGCTTTCACACATAGAACAACCCTGGGAAGATGGTTATTAATAGTCCTGTCCTAGAAGAGGAGAATCATTAAGTGACTTGCCAAAAGCAATATAGCCAGTAAGTGTGAGATCTGGGCATTTACCCAGCCCTTGTCACACACTTCTCACAGGTTACCCATGGATATTCACAGGGGCCACTTGGTTATCAGTGGCTGGTGTACATGTGCATTATAGTGTTGCAGATCATCGGGGGAGCTTGCACATATCTATGTCATCTTGTGGGTGGCCACCAGTCTTTGTGATCAGCACTGTGAGGAAGCCTGTGGCACAAAGGTCACTGAGAGAAGACAGCTGTGCAGAAGCACATTGCAGCAAAGTTCCCTAGAGAGTGTCAGTTTATGTGAATAGCAAAGCAGTCTGGACCAGTCAGGTTCCGAATATCAACTGAAACTGTGTCATTTAGAATACAGTAGCATGCAGAGGTGCCCTAAGCTTTAGGAAAGCCCTGCCTCCCTCCCTTTTTCCCTCCCTCGCTCTGGCCATGATATGCCCCACAGAAGCAAAAACTGCTATAGGTTAAATAAAAAACAAACCCAAAAACATATTAGTCTCTCTGTCCATTCACATGTATGGAGAGCCTACCAAAACACTGACCCAACAGGAATTTCTCATCCAATAAACCCAAGACCAAAATGCCTTGAGATGCCTAAAGAAGTGCTATTGAATGGGTGGCCTTTCTGAAATTTACCCTTGATCATTTGATAGGAGGTGCTTCTTAGACTGTAGTACTTTTGTGGCTAATGTACCCTCCTCACAAGTTGCTTAACACTATGTTCTTACCAACAACGAAAATCCTACTTGGAGGAGCCCAGGTCCTAACCCTAACCCATGTAACTACTCAACAAATGAACACCCCACTTTTGGCTGACTCCCTGAGAAGCTGTGTATCCGAGGTATGCTCAGGGCTTTCTAATTTCTCTCTTTTCTACCTTCTGGTTATTTACAGTTAAAAATCCATTGACTAATGAAAATATCCTTACTCTCATGATATGACACCTGCACTAAGTCTGGAAAACCCTTTCAGATGCCCTAATGTGTAAGGTAGGCATTTCTCTCCCTAGAGTTGCTGCTCCGTCAGGCCACACCTATCCCCTGAGATTAGGAAGAGGCGAGTTAAACAACAAATGGCCTCCCAGTCTTTTCCCATCTTCCCACAAGGGAAATATAGGACACCAAGAGGACAAGAAGGTTGGCATCACAGTCTGAGCGCTCACAGCCAAAGACCAGAAAGGTGTCTTGTCTCTCTGAGAGGTGTGATGTATATTATGGCTGGTAAAATGGAAAGAATTTCCTCTGGCACAGATGGGGCAAACCACCCAAACTATAGATTAATGAAGCTCTTTGAACTCATCTCAGAATTACGAGATGAGTTACCTGAGGGGAGGCTTGCCTCTGTAGAGCTGTCCCATCTCATTAGACAAAAGGACAGTAAAGCGGTGAATTGTAAGGGTACTCCCTCATGAAAATATTTTTCAGATACCTTCAGGAATCAACCACAAATCCTGACTTACTGTCATATGATATAAATAAAGGGAAAGGGGTGGGTGAAAATTTCCCTTCTTAAATCCTATATAATATTAGTTCCAAAGATTTAGAGAAAACACAATTTTATTGTCTTTGAAACACACACTCTCTCTGTCTCTCTCTCACACACACACACACACACACACACACACACACACACACACACACACACTTGGGTCTTTACCAAGAAAGCTGATTCTCCAAAAAAGAAATCTTATTTTAAAACATTTTACCTCTTCAGGCCAGAAAATTAATAATTCCTAGACCTGACCCATTTTCATACCTGGCAAAAAAGGAAAAGAAATAACTACTTAAATTTTGTGTGGGTCTTTTACTCTCTTAAAATATGTCAAAGCAATTTGATGCAGGAGTAGAAAGTGAGGTGTTTATCTCCCTTGCTTGAGTTTCTGTACTTCCGTCAGGGAAAGGTAAAGAATAAGGGGCCAGAATTATCAGGGCATTGCATTGCCATTTTCTACAACATCTACATTGCTTCATAGTGAGGTGTAGGAATTAATAACTACTTTCATAAATCCACATCCTCCATCATGAAGCCTGAATATCTTTACTTACCAAACTATTCAGCTCCATTTCTCACTCAGAAGATATAAGATAGAGCTGGTTTCCATATCTGCATCCTCTCTCAACCCTTTTTGCTTTATTTTGGGGGAGGGAAGGGAGTCTTGTGTGAAAGAAAAACAACATAGTTCCTCCTAATTGCTCTTTGCCCTTGGATAGCCATGATGCTTAGTAATTAGAGGACTAGAACTTGACCATGTTATGAGGTTTCTTCCTAATGTGTTTCATTCCTTCAAACACAGACTAGGACCTAAGTGGTTTTCATCATTTAAATATTCACAATGGGAATAGTCTCATTTTGCCTCACACATACATAGTAAGACAGGAGCTGATATTTGGGTGATATGTGCATTATAGTAATCTTTTGTGTTCTTGTTGGTTTCTAGAAGAGTGCCACATACATCACCTCATTCACTTGGTGGCAAACTGAATTAGCCTGGACCCATCTTCTACCTCAAGTGAAAAGTCTAAACTGAGATGTGTCCCAGATGAGATGTAGACCCCAGAAACTGGTCTGATCATAAATGTTTAGCAGTAAAGTAGTAACAAAATCATTTTTCAATGACTAGCCTTACTGCCCATTTGTCACTTGAAACACCTGATAAGCAAAGTATCCAAGACCCCTTTCCTCATTAACAAATGGTAGAATAGTTCCCCTCCACAGATCTGAATCCTGTCTTCACTCTTTCTCAGGAAATATGTCAAGGAGGAAAATAAAATTAAAAATGACACATGACTCTGGTTCTTGAGCATGAATAAGACTGCTGTGTGGAATTGTGTGCCTTACACAAAACCTTAAACTTAGAACCAAGTTTGTACAGCTGCAGGGAACTCTGAGCATGCGCTCTGTGTAGTGAGTTAACCTGATTTGGTTTTGTTTAGTGTGAATCTATACCTTGATCATTACTTAAAGATTGGGGGCTTGTCTTTCTCTACTGCTGAGTATGGGAATGGGGGCAACTATGAGATGAACTTTCTAAGTAGTAAGCCTGAGCCACAAAGTAGTTGTGACGCAAAGGCACAGCCTAGGGATAGTAATTTTGCATGAGGTTCACATGGGCTCTTATTTCATGGCTTTGTCACAGGCTTTTCTCTTTCTGTGCTATCACCTTTGAGCAAAACCATTACACCTTCCCCAAGTCTGCCTTTCTAACAGTTACAGTTGAGTTGGCAAGACTCTCCCAGCTCTGAATAGAGCCACTTGCCGACTCTGGCCTCTGAGAGACTGCTTCCAATGTGCTCTTCTGTTCAGCACACACATCAGCAAAGTGAGAAGACGGGTGCTAAATATAGGCTCTATTAACTTTACTTTTAGATGCAGTGCCTTCCAAAGTGCCTATTCTGAGAAACATAAACGTTATCCCTACATATGTATGTACACACGGTACCCAGAGTCGTACTGTTCAGCCTTCAAAAACACCATCAGAAGGAGTAGGTGCTGAGATAGCGAAGCATCGCCAAATGGAAGCAAGTGGCTCGTTTCCAATCTCCCCTACCGTGGCTACCATGAAATGGGCTGAAAGAGTGTCCCTGGCACTTCCTGCTGATACAGCCACTTTGTATTTATATGCCGGGACTAGTGGCAAACTGCTGAGGGACCTGTACTCCACGAAAATAATATGCCCATGAACATTTAGTCAAGAAAAAAAAAAGGCAATTAATATGTGTCATGTGTGTGTTTATAAACTAAGTACTGCTAAGTTTAGCATGTCAGCAGGTTTCTTTTATGCCTTGGGTTAACTTAGAGAAAACTAAAGAAAAGTCTTGGCTATAGGGAATGTAGACTCGGGGGGCCAAGTGTCCCTGCCAGATCCTTGAAGCATTTTTACTCCAGCTCCTAAGAATACTAGTGCATGCTATTTGAGTGCTTTTATCTTGGAGCTCTGTCAGTGACAGGGAACTCTAGATGTTTGTGATGAGGCAGCAGCATAGCCTGGAAGGCTGAGTTTTCACCCAGTGGTGGCAATAGGAGATGAGCCAGGTAAATATGCTGAGGTAGATGGAGATACTGTATGATTGGAGAAGGGTTGAAGGGAGGACATGATTCCAAAAAAGATTGTTCTCAATGTGTTGTCTGACTCAACCAGCTGGCAGATTACACTTGCCAAGTCGTTTCCTTTCCTTCTAAGTCACTTGGCTCCACATTCCCTTAAATATGCCTCTGAGGAAAGTAAGATGTGTCCACTTAGCCTTTCTGAAAGGACACGTAATGATGTCCCCTTGGTCACAAAGCTACTGTGAAACGCCTCTTCTCTCACTCAGTTTTACCAAATAAAAGTAAAGGTGACAGACTGTGGAAGACACATTTGATGCCGTTTCAGTCACCCGCCACTCTGTTTTCCATATAGGAGCCCAGCAACTCAAACCTGAGCTGAGGAAACAACATGGCCCTGATCAGTAGCTCCAGGACTATAGTCTTGTTTCTTTAGTAGCTTCATGATTGGAGCCAGGCTGATTTTTTAAAAAAGAGACTTAGGCAGTACTTCTCCCAAGAAACATTTCTCCTGTTGGCAATTCTTTTATCTCTATCAATTTCAACACTAATTGTTTTCTATTTTCGACATGATCAGATTTCAGTACTAAAAAAGAATTCCAAAATCTCTATGTGATGCCATCAAGTCTATGGAAGACATTGGTTCTTTTCCTTGAGAACAAACAAACCAAATGCAACAGACACAATGTGGCCTTGCTCTGAGTTTCAGTCTGGTGACTTGTGACCATGAGAGATAGATAGCTTGATAGGAAAACTAAGTCATATTTAATGGGATGGGTCAAGGACAGGGGCTAAGAACTGCCAAGCTTTCTCTGTGCTTAGTGTATCTGCCGGGAGCAGGCACTTCCTTCTAGCTAATCATAACCATAGCCCAGCAGCAGCACTGCAAGTCTCCGTACCATTTCCAACTTAGAAAAAGTTACACAAAAGCGTAGAGAGCAGGACTTCTTTCGTTTGTGTGACACTGACAGAGCCATGGCATTTCCACAGGGTAACCACAGTGCATGGATTTACTGCGTCACAATGTCCCCGATGTCCCCACAGCAGTTCACACTGTTCCTTATGAAAATCAGAAGAAGTTGTGTTATAAGACCATAATTCGGGCGATTTCTTTTGTATTTACACATTATTCAATTATATTAAAACATGTTCTTATTTACATTCTATCAGTTTTGATTATGCTTTCCCAGCACTCTGTGAGAATAAAAATGAAAATCACATTGTTTTTTTTCTTCTGTAAAAGAACTACTTTATATTTAGATTACCAATAAACTTCTCATTCCACTTACTTGCCGATGTGTGGAATTCTTTAGGATGATCTGTTTCCTTTTTGCCCTGTTAACTGTGATTCACTTTTTCATCAGTTGCTTTCCATATGGTTCTCGAGAATGTGGATGCCTCTCAGAGCGAGTATGCCCAAGAGCATGCAGCCCCCCCTCCATTGATGAGCTCAACTCCTGACATGTTCCCCAATCACTTCAGCACCCTCTGGACTCTGCGAAAAGTGTGTGTGTGTGTGTGTGTCCTTTTAATGCTATAATCAAGTAAGTAGTTCCTTTGAGGTGGGATAGGAATTTTTACCTTCATTCAACAATTCACATTTTCATACTTTTTCACCACTTGTATTATGAATATTTCTGAAGCCTTTATAATTCACCATTTGCTAGGTACCTTGGGGAATGCAGGTATACTCCATAATGGGGCTGAGTGGCTAAGCATGTACAAATCACCATGAGAAATAGGTGAAAAGAATCAGATACAAGAAGAGTGGCCCGATTTTCAAACTTTGTTCCCAGTCATTTTTGATGGTTCTGTGATTATTTTGTCTGCATTTATATTCTAAGAATAAGAGAAAATAAGCCAGGACCATCATTTAAGAAGTACACCTTTTCATGTAGCAGATGTGCAGAAAAACGGAAACACCCAGCCCACTAAGCCTCACATGAAAGGTAACTAGAGCCCACCCGAATCCCCTGTCACAAAAGCCAGAGAGCACCCCTTCCTTCTCTTTGGCACTCAGGCCTCAGATGCTCTCTCTCCAGCATCTGTTTCATATCTACAGATGGTAGAATATCTGAAAACTGTGGGTGTGTCTCTCTCAAAGACCGCTGTTCATGAAGCTACCATATATAAGGCATGTCTTTGGATACATGGCAAATAAATCACTGCTATTCCGGGAAACTCAGGAGGTTGTAATCAAAAAGGCCATGTATAATGTAATTTTCATTCCTGTCTCTTCATTTTCTCAGCTACCCAAAAGATTATCATTGACAACTCCATTCTGTTCTCTGGTGTCTAATGTTATATGTCACCCATTATGTCCTACTTGCAGAATAAGGGAGCTAGAAGAACTCTTGGGGATCATCTTCCTTGGCCTGCCAAAGGAACACTAAGTCCTGAACAAAAGAAGGCATTTTCTCAAGGTCCTGAGTCATGATAAGGTGGGGCTTGAGACCTGCCTTAGTCCAGGGATATCATGCAGAATCTGTAATAATGTGGGAAATAATGACACAGGGTTGAGCAAAACTCAGGGGGTGTAATGTCCCTAGACCCCCAAGTAAAGACTCTAAAGCTATATTTCTTTGAAAAACAAGGGAAGAATAGCACTATGAAACAATGTTTAGCAGAGAAAATAGCAGTTACACAGTTAAATCAGAACAAACTGTTTCGTTGAGCAATCTTTTTACTTGAGGGGATAAACCCACAAAGCTGAAATACTGGACAACATTGGAATGTAGGCTCAGAAAACAAGAATTCAAACTTTGTGAGATTTTTGTAGATTTAGGAAAATAGTGCAGTTGGTTAACCGGATTTTAAAATTAAATTTACGTGTAAATGTTTCAGTAGATACCAGTAAAGAAAGAAAGTATATAACCACAAAAATCAGGAGGAAAAGTGGAATGGAAGAAAGAGATAAAAAAAAATGGTAACATACACTGGCCTTAAGCTCACAGTGTAATAAAAGATGACCCTGAATTTCTGATTCCCCTGCCTCTGACTGTCTCTTGAATACTATTACTTGTGTGTTTTACCACACCCAGTTTATGTGATATGGAATATAAAACCTGGACTCTCGTGCAAGCTCTACCAACTGAACTCCATCCTCAGCTCCAAAGCAAAACATCTAAAGAGGCAGAAGAAACAGATGGGAGAAATGCAAAACATGTGAAAGCCTAAATTCAGAGAAATGCGCACACACAAGTAAATATAAGGTGGAAAAGCATGGAATTAATAAATTTAGGATCTACAAATGTGATTTTTAAATTAGAAATCTGGTCTTATGTTAAAATATAAACCAGACACAGATTAAAGTAAAAGAATGGGTACCTGGTCAGTAACTATTTGCAGAAAAAAAAATTAGAGTAGACCCATTAGTATAAAAAAGAAAAAGAAAAAAAAAAGAAACAAATGAATCTTAAGACAAAAGAAAATCTTCAGTATGGAGGCATTACTTATTGGTTAAAAAAAGTTTAATTTCATAAAAGAACACATTCTATTACATTTCATTTGTTTTGTTGTGGAAAGGCAATTACCAATGTACACACTGAGGTCAGAGGACAACTTTTGGAAGTCCAATCTTTTCTTCCATTATGTGACTTCCAGGAATTGAACTCAGGCCATCAGAGTGGCTTAGCATGCTGAGTCACCTCTCTTGCTCAAGAAGACATATTCTGAGTTGAATGAATCTAATGATAGCTGTTGATCACTTCAGCAATGTTTACAAAACTACGGTGAAAGCCCATGAATTCAAATCCCCTGCAGGATTCTAACAAAACTCCTTCAACAACTGTAAGATGTAATCACTGAAGGCAGAGGAGTTAAACATCACTTTAAAACTCGACTTAATGGCTATCATAAAAAGCACCCACACATATGTTGAGAATGAGCCCTCCATTTTGGAGTGAGTACACATGACACCAATTGCCTTCTAGGTCGGTTGTCAAGAAACTTCAAAGAGTCATCATACAGGTCAAATACTATGATCACATTGAAGTTTCAGTTCCAATTTAATAGTTAAGCTGTAAAATTGTAACATTCTTGGAATAGCAGTTAACCCTGGCCCATCTCAAACTTCCAGGATCCAGACCTCCAACTCCAGCCCCCACCCCAACACCAGTAAGAGTTCCAGACATCTTCACCTCAGCCACTCCACAAGACCTTTATAAGAGCCCTGGCCCCACCCTGAACACATCCACCTAGTCTCCATTTTCTCAGCACTTACACTAGCCAAGCACCCTACTGTACAGCATTCAGCCCACACCCCACTGCTGGGAAACTAAAGACTTTGTATCCTTACCCTGCATGGAGACCATTACAAAAAGCGACAACTGGTCATAATACAGAGAACAACTGTTCATAGGGAGCCCAGCCCCCAAACATGTCTACCACACAGCTCTTGCACCTAAAGTTAAGCCAATATTGTGGAAGAGGGGGTAGAAAGATTGTAAGAAACATAAGACTCTCTCTCTCTCTCTCTCTCTCTCTCTCTCTTCTCGTGTGTGTGTGTGTGTGTGTGTGTGTGTGTGTGGTGTAAATAATCAAAAAGAGGCCATCAATTTGAGAGAAAGTGAGGGAGGGACATAAGAGGAGTTAGAGAAGGAAAAGGAAGTGGAGGGGTGATCTAATTTTATTTTAATTGCAATTTTCAAAAGATAATAAATACCCTAAATCCAAGTGTGTGGGTCCCATCAAAATACACACACACACACACACACACACACACACACACACACACACAGAGTATATGGTTAAATTAAGCCAATACCCCTTCCCTATCACCAGCCCTTTTATAATGTTCCCCAAGAAGAACAACTTTTGGGAAATTGAAGACACAAAATTCAAAACAATCCTGAGCATATTTAATGAATCCAAAGCCTGAAAAAAATAACACAAACACCTCAATGAACTTGGAAAGGACAGAAATAAAATTATTTAAATCCAAGAAAACACCAACAGGTAAACAAAATAAGTTGGACAGTTCAGGATAAGAATATTAAATTCACTCAATAAATTGAAGCGCTAAAGAGAACCTAAACTGGAATGGAACAGAAGGTGAAAAATTCAATAAATCTAATAAAAAGCCCAGTGAAAGCATCACCAAAGAAGTGGAACACACAGAAGAGAGACAAAGTAGAGAGACTAGATCACACAACCGGAGAAAACGACACATAAAAAAAAACCCTATGAACAGAATATTCAGGAAATTTGAGGGACCATGAAAAGACCAATTATAAATTATTGTCATAGAGAAAAAAATTCCAGGGCAAAGAAATAGTTAATATTTTTAAATCATAGAAAAAAGTTTCCCAAATAGAGAGAGATATCCATCCAGGTAAATGAGGCCCACACAACACCAAACAGACAGGACCAGAAAACGGATTCCCCACCATGTGTTATAACCAAGCACTTACAAACAAACAAATAAAAAGGCATGGGAAGTTTCAAGCAAGAAGGACCAAGTCTCACATAGGCCAGGGCCACCAGAAAAACAGCTAATAATTTGATAGAAGGTTTTCAAATTTAGATGTATTTTAAAAGATGTTATTCCAATTACAAAAGTAAAAGATCGTCAGCCCAGAGTAGTATACCCAGAAAAGCTATCTATTAAAATTGAAGGAGAAATAAAAACAGACTAAAGGAATGAATGAACACTAAGACAGCTTCACAGAGCATATTAAAAGGAACAGTTTGAATTAAAGAAGATAAACATACACAAAAGTCAATGGGGGAGGGGAAGACAAACAGTGCCAGGGCAGTTAATCAAAAGAAGTTTACAAAAATAGCAGGAAAAAAACGAAGTGTTGGGAATTAATGCACATCAAAAATAGCTGTGAGTATTAATGGTATTAGCTTCCCAATAAGAAGACACACACTACTGTGCTAGATTGCATCTTCTGCACCTTATAAGGGGTCATGTCTGAATGTGAAACCACGCCCAAAGGGTGTGGCCACCACAAGTTCACTGGCAAAGCAAGAGGCCACTACACACTACCAGATTGGATGAGAAAATAAGTTCCAACTTTTTGCTATTTACAAGAAATATCTCACCACCAAAGATAGACACCATCAGTCAATAAAAGAACAAAATGGTATTCCAAGCAAATGGGACTAGAAAACAACCAGGTGTGTGTGTGTGTGTGTGTGTGTGTGTGTGGTGTGTGTATCAGAAGAACTAAAGAAGGTAACTTCATACTCATTAAGAGAACAATTCATTAGGTTGATGTTACAGTTCTAAACATATATGCCCCAAACACAAGTGAACCCAATTTAATAAAATGTATGCCATAG